ACAGTCTGGGCTCGACAATTCTCGGGCTTACCGGGTCAAGCATGAAGCAGTTGACGCCTTGTCCGGTGGACAGGACCAACATGGTGGCGCTGCCATACAGAGCGTAACCGGCGGCTACGAGGTTCCTCCCCGGTTGCAGGGCGTCCTCCTCGATGGGCGCATCGTCTGTGCTCTGCGGAGGACATGGAATGACTGCATTTGCAGTGACGGTGCCCTCACTCTAAACAGCACTTCCGGCTGAAAATAGCATTTTACACGAGGTTCCTCCCCGGTTGCAGGGCGTCCTCCTCGATGGGCGCATCGTCTGTGCTCTGCGGAGGACATGGAATGACTGCATTTGCAGTGACGGCGCCCTCACTCTAAACAGCATTCTGGCTGAAAATAGCATTTTACTTTCAGGCCCACCTTCTTGTAGATGGCAAAAATGGTCCCGATGGAGACAAGACAGTCGATATTTGAGGAACCGTCCAGCGGGTCAAAGCAGACGATGTATTTGCCCTGAAAGGGAACGATTTCACGGCTTACACGACAGGGATAGTTTGCCGAGTCACTGCGCTGATGCTACAGTGACGTTCGAGTGACACGTCGCTGCGATTTCACGAATGTCGTGCCGCGTGCACGTGTGCACTTCCACAACTTCTTACTCTCTTGTCCGCTTCCACGACGATGGCCCGCTCATTTTCTTCGGACACCAGCACGCAGGAGGTGAAAGATGACTTGATCATGTTGATGACCATGTCGTTGGACAGGACGTCCAGTTTTTTCACCTGGTCCCCCGTCACATTGGTGCTGCCGGCGATGCCGTACCTGCCGAGCCAGACGCGAGAAGGAGACCTTTGACTTTGTTTGTTGACACTGATAAAGGGACGTCAATGCAAAAAAAAAAATACAAATAATAATTCCCCAGCCCCTCGTCAGCATGTACCTTTGGCCAGGTTGAAGTACAAAGTGCTACTTGTGCGTACAACCTAATTCTGGCTGGCTGAGGATTCCACTTTTAGAGAATTTCCCAAGAGTTACGGTTTTATGAAACTTACTCTATGTCAGAAAGTGTCTATACTACTTCAGATGAATAAAAAAATGCAATTTTCAACACTCAGTACTCTCCAATGAAACACATATAGTCTGTCCAAATGGCTTCAATAATGTATTCAATATCGAGGACGTCAATCATATCCGTCTGAAGGTCGTACTAGTGGCAATACGAGTGGAAAGCTTATGTTTACTTGTGTACTGAAATGTATTACTAGTGTGGGCAAAGAGCATACTTGTAGATGGACTTTAAGATCAAGGATATGCAATACATGCTCAACAGCTTCCCGTTTCCGTGGCTACAAAGAAGAAGAAATCTTTCGAGAACCAACTAAAGGACCTATCAACTCTGAGATGAAAGAACAAAATCATTTCTCACAGGTTGGCGATGCCGGCCTTCCTGACAGCGGTGGAGATGGCTTTGACGGCCGTGCAGATGGAGTTGAGCAGGTTGGTGAGCTCACCGGTTCCGTGGGCCTTCCTGCCCTCCTCCAGCACAAACCTGGTGAGGGTCAGCACATTGGTGTCGAAGGCTCCCTTCTCGGACATTTTTGCTGTCAGGTGCGAGGACTTCGTGCCCCGAGGGAAGTGCAGCCGCAGTTAAAGGTGGGCGATCGAGCTGGGAGACTACAGAGAGGGGGGGGTCGGAGAGGCCATTGTGGGGGGTGTGAGAGCGTGCCAGCCAATCACAAGTGACTGCACATTTGATTGGGCAAAGTCCAACAGATAATGAACACCTTTAAGGTGTTCAATACCACTGCCAAAGTGCACCCCCCCCCCAAAAAATGGTAAAAGTGGTACTCACTTTTGTTGTTTATGGTTTGATATAGGGCTGTGTGTTGAGTTATTTTGAGGGCACAGTAATTTTACACGGACTACTTATCACTGCCTGTTCTTCGGGGCTGTTCCATCCCAACCGACTGACGTCTGCAGACATGTTCTGTTTCACAAGAATCCGGAGCTCATAGTGTTTTAGTTTTGGTTAATGATAAATGGTGTGCCTTTGTTGTTGGTGTGGTGCAGGGGTGTCAACCTTGTTTTTGTCGCGGGCCACTTTGGAGTTCGGTCTTCCCTTGGAGGGCCGTTACAATAGTGAACCCGAATAAATGTTTAAAGACTGCATTATTACTTGTACACAACAAATTGAGCGATTAGTAGTTTTGAAATCAGTCAACTATCCCTTTGCTGTTTGTTCAATGATTGAACATTTTTTGTTGAATGTGACATTTAATCCAATGAGATTTTGGACGGCTGAAAATTTTTATTTTGTTATTTGGGGAACTTGGGAATCTTGGGATGTTGAAAATAGTTGTTTTGAAAGAGCTGAACATTTTGAATTTGTAAAAGGAACGATGAAGAACTTCATTTTTAAATGTCTCATTCTCTTGAATGCGGAAATGGTTGAAGGTTAAAAAAAGCGGAGAGTTGAATGAAAATATAATTTTATTCTAGAATAGCCTATTTTCAAAGTTTAGGTGATGAATAGCGGAATAATGAAGAATACATCATAGGATTTCAAATGAAGAAGACGTAAGGCAAACCCGGAAGTGTGGCGGGGCTGGCTGTGTCTATGTTCCGCGCACGCCCAGTACGTTCAGCGCATGCTCAGTAGGCTCAGCGCCGATGTATCGCAATGGCTGCCTCTGCAGCAGGAATAAACAAGCAGGTCTCACTGACTACCATGGAGCCGTGCGTTCGCCACGGTCGGGTGGCCAACGGAGGCACCGTCAAGGTCGGCGAGATTTACAAACTACAACTCAAACACGATCAAAGGTTTTGTTTGGGCCATTTCGCCGCAAGCCTTCTCGGGAGGCAACGTTGCCTTCGTGGGTACTGACGCGAGACTGAACGCCGCATAGTCGTCTCCGAGATCACTTGAATAGCATCTCGCTGGAAATGTGATTGCTAAATAACACACTGCAGCAGCGTTTTAATTGGAATCTCAATCTGCCGCTCGGTGATCTCAAGTAGCATCTTGAGAATGACATCACACGAGTGTGTGTGTGTGTGTGTGTGTGTGTGTGTGTGTGTGTGTGTGTGTGTGTGTGTGTGTGTGTGCAGAGCAGGCCCACGGCTCCATATTTATTTCTGTCAATAATATACATATTTAGTTTCGTGAAATTGCCTTCATTCATTCCCTAACAGACTGCAGTGAATACATCAGGCTCCATTGACTGTTTGCTCTTGTGGAGCCCCTTGTCACCGCATTCTTATGCACAATCCGTGGGCCAACTCTTACTGCGTGTTTTTGTGTGCGCTGATGAGTGTATGCGTGCAACTTTCTCTCAAAAGAAACAATTACACATTGTCCTCAGTCACTGTGCATGTGTGATGTAATTTGGAGTGACAACTTGCAAGTGTGGTCTTGATCTTGTGTGCGTTGACTCGCAGGTGCTGGAGTGCGGCGTGTGTGAAGACGTCTTCTCCCTCCAAGGCGACAAGGTGCCCCGCCTGCTGCTGTGCGGGCACACCGTGTGCCACGACTGCCTCACCCGGCTACCCCTGCACGGCCGGGCGGTCCGCTGCCCCTTCGACCGGCAGGTGACAGAGCTCGGTGAGTTTTTTTTTTGGATGCAGAACCACAAAATTTTGTGAATTAGTGAATGCTTAAAAGTGTTTAGTAAATTAGCAACTCTAACCCAACGGCGCTGCAAAAGCGGCATGTTTTCATAGCTATAACCGGACTGTTTCCAATTAAAACGCCCTAAAAGTTGTAGAAAAACGAACTAAATCAGACCGCTTGTCGTAACTGGTGCTCAGCTGTTCATCCTTCCCTCTAGGTGACTCTGGAGTGTGGGGTCTCAAGAAGAACTTTGCTCTGCTGGAGCTTCTCGAGCGACTGCAGAACGGCGCCACCAACCAGTCGGGAATGGCAGAGGACGCTCTGAAGGGAATGGGCGAGGTAAGCCGAGCACGGTCCGCATGGAGAATGAATGTTTGAATGGCATTTTCTTTGCCCTGCGTTGCATCGTCAACTCCAGCAGTGCATCATCCGCTGCGATGAGGACGAGAGCCACACGGCCACCATGTACTGCACCGTGTGCGCCACCCACCTGTGCGCCGAGTGCTCGCAGCTCAGCCACTCCACGCGCACGCTGGCCAAGCATCGGCGCGTGCCGCTGGCTGACAAGCCGCACGAGAAGACGCTGTGCCCGCAGCACCAGGTGCACGCCATCGAGTTTGTGTGCCTGGAAGAGGCGTGCCAGCCCGGCCCGCTCATGTGCTGTGTGTGCAAGGAGTATGGCAAGCACCAGGGACACAAGGTCAGTTCAATTTCCATCTTTCCGGTCGCCTGGAGCGGAGCCTCTCCAACTAATCGCAACGTGTTTGTTGTTGTGTTCTTGTCCTTCTTCAGCACGCCGTCCTGGAGACGGAGGCCAACCAGATCCGGGCCTCCATCCTGGACATGGCGCACTGCATCCGCACGTTCACGGAGGAAGTGTCGGAGTACTCCAGGAAATTGGTAGGGATTGTGCAGCAGATCGAGGGCGGCGAGCAGATCGTGGAGGACGGCGTGGGCATGGCGCACACGGAACACGTGAGAGTGCCAATCCGCTGTTGGTTTCCAAACCTGAGGCGTGTTTCAAAATGCAAAATTCCTCCCTCGGCGTCTTGGCCAGGTGCCCGGCACGGCGGAGAGCGCTCGCTCCTGCGTGCGCGCCTACTTCGCCGACCTCCACGAGACGCTGTGTCGTCAGGAGGAGATGGCGCTCAGCGTGGTGGACGCCCACGTCCGCGAGAGGCTCATTTGGCTGAGGCAGCAGCAGGAGGACATGACCATCCTGCTGTCCCAGGTGTCCACCGCCTGCCTGCACTGCGAGAAGACGCTTCAGCAGGTGGGGGAAATGCTTTTCAATGCTTAGCGACCCGATGACTCGTCCGATCCAAACGAACTGGCCTTTTAGGACGACTGCAGAGTCGTACTGGCCAAGCGGGAGATCAACTGTCTGCTGGAGACGCTTCAGAAGCAGCAGCATCAGTTCACGGAGTTAGCTGACCACATCCAGCTGGATGCGGGCATCCCGGTCACCTTCACCAAGGTACCCTCACCGAGTCTCACAGCCGCCCCCAAAGTCAGCACCAGCACAAAAATCGGGTTTTTTATGGAACGCTATTTGAGCACTTCTCAAATGTCCTCGATCTTCAGCTCTGCCGTTTGGTCTCTCTAATAAGACAGTTCAGCACCGGATTGTGTCTTACGAGTAACATGTACTCATCCTACTGCTCTGCCGGTGCTCTCTGATTAGTGAGAACAAAGCGCATACTCAGCTCAAGTGTATTTCCGGAGCACTTTAAAACAACTACTGCTGTACGTGGAGCAAAAATCATTCATACAACAACAGACAATAAATTAATAATGGAGGCAGTAGTCAGCACAAAAATAGGAAATCAAGTCTCATGCTGAGTCAAAAGCCAAACGATAGAGATGGGCAGCGAGGCGGCTTGCCGAACGTTCAGCGGGAGGTCGTTCCAAAGAGAGGGAGCGGCAACGGAAAAGGCTGCATCTGCCATGAGTCTCCGCTTAGTTCTTGGTCTGCGGACCTGAGCCACGGGGCAGGGGCGTCGGAGCTCTGAGAGCAAAGGTGGGACGATGCCATTTCAAGATTTGAAAACAAAAAGAACTCTCAAATTCATCGTGAGCCAGAGGAGGAGTGATGTGCTCCCTCTTACGAGTAGCAGTCAAGAGGCGAGCAGCGGCATTCTGGAGCAACTGGAGATGCTTCAAGGAGGATTGGCTGACTCCAAAGTAAAGTCCAGCCGAAATGTGACGAAGGCAAGAATGAATGTTTCAAAGTGCTCTTGAGAAAGAAGAGGCTTGACTTTAGCTCTCTGCGGAAGATGAAAGACATCCTGGTACGTGGCGCTTAAGCGGGGATGAGAAAATGCCCAAAGGGTTTCCATCTGCTCCCTGTTCAGGACAACCGCGTACACATCGGTCCCAAGATGGAGATCCGCGTGGTGACTCTGGGCCTGGATTGCGCTGGCAAAACCACCATCCTCTTCAAGCTCAAGCAGGATGAGTTCATGCAGCCCATTCCCACCATTGGTACGCCAAAGATCACTTCAAGAGTAAAATAAAGTCGCTCCATGTATCGATCGCTACAAATGACAGTTTTTGTTTGTTTTCAAACAAGGTTTCAATGTGGAGACGGTGGAATACAAGAACTTGAAATTCACCATCTGGGACGTCGGTGGAAAGCATAAGCTGAGGCCATTGTGGAAACACTATTATCTTAACACTCAAGGTAGGATTTGGTTTTGTAAAGAATCATGCATCTTTTTAAGACCGGTGACCTTAAATACAGGACCTCTCCTTTCGTAAATATGAGCTTGATGTGGTGGATCTTAGATCTCAATATTAAGGAAATTATAATTACATTTGCAAAATGAAACGCCCATTTGTTTATTAGATTTAAGAGCTCTCTATGATAAAGTATGCCCATTAAGAGTGGGTAAGTATGTTCAGGAATTATCCAATATTTACGATATTTCAGTTTGTAATGTGGATCTAAAGCCTTCATTTTGAAATTGCAAGACTCGGTGAGCTTTTTCGAGAACGCCTTGAACAGATTTAAGACCTTCGCTTGACGCACACGGAGTGGGCGGATAGATTAAGAAATGTTCCGATTTTATCATTCGCATTCAAGGATGTGATAAGCCTGAATTTCGGAAAGGGGAGTGGGGGGGCATTTAAGGATCCCGAAATCCACTTTGACAAAATTTAACGGATCTCTTTCACAAGATCTAAAATCGTATCAACCAATATTTGGACCGGTAATAAATAACAAGGCGTCTCGATGATGCCCAAGTGTCATGGGTCTTTTCCTCCCGTGTTGCACGCAGCGGTGGTGTTTGTTATTGACAGCTGTCATCGGGATAGACTGATGGAGGCGCACAGCGAGCTGGCCAAGCTGCTGACTGAGAAGGAGCTGAGAGATGCCCTGCTCCTCATCTTTGCCAACAAACAGGTACTGGACAGCCGTACGGGAGAAAGTAGATCATGTCCAGAGTTGCCTTCAGATGAGAGTGACCTAAACTAATGAGCTTTTCGAGATCTGCCCCACAGTTGGCTCGAACAAATTAGTGCCATTTCCATTCACTTCAATGGGGAAAGATGATTTGATGTGGTCACGGTGCGAATTTGCCACTATATTGCTCTTTCAGGATTCTTTTTTTTTTTTAAACACCTGCTCAGGACGTTCCCGGTGCCCTTTCAGTGGAGGAGATGACGGAGCTGCTGAGCCTGCACAAGCTGTGTTGCGGCAGGAGCTGGCACATTCAGGGCTGCGACGCCCGCAGCGGGATGGGTCTCCACGAAGGCTTGGATTGGCTCTCCAGACAGCTGGTGGCCGCGGGCGTCCTGGACGTGGCCTAGAATGTCCCGCGGACATCGGCGGTTTGATGACACCCCGGGAGTGCTTCTCTGCGAACAAAAACTTGACGGTACACGTTGGAAGAGCTTTGACACGTACTACCGCTGTGTTCCTCCGAGGGGAGACACTGAGCTACTGAAAAAGCCCACCACCTCCCCACCCCACAAGAAGGTTTTTTTTTTTTCTTCTTTTGGGGTGGGCTTTATGCACCAATCCAGTATGGAAAGCAGGATATGGGGCAGAGCGAATAAGTGCTCATTCTTAATATTGTTAGCCCAGTAATGTGATTGCCTTTTTTTTTTTTTTTTTTTTTTTTACACACACACTTACAGACTTATGTGATTCCGAAAATATTTTTTTGTTGTTTTTCCAAAATGTTTAGATATGACTCAGGCAACTCTGCTATTAAGCTAACAATATCCAGCGTAATCGTAATTTCTTTGTCCTCACTAGTAGAGAGTTCAGTGCACTAGTAAAACAACGTCGTGCTGTAAATTTTTTTTTTTTTTTTTGCAAGGCCGCTATCGCTTTGGGCTTACTAGTGTGAAACTTAACATTAAGTAAACTACTGTGCTGCACTCATGACACTGACAACTTGTAGATGCATGTGTCATGCACGAGTAGCCACGTGCAACCCACAAGCGGCACCACAGTCCAATTTTGGAAACGGAGGATTTCTTCGATTGAATCATATAAAGGTAGAGGAATTAATGTGAATATTGCACCCTAGGGTTTTCTTTCTTTTTTAACAAGTGAGGACAAACAGCGTACTAGTTACATGGACCTTAAAGCTGGATTTCAGTCATTGAATAAATGCTTGGTGCAGGGAGGTACGCTATAGTAGCTGATGTTTCTTGGGGAAGTGAATTCTATTTGGGTTTGTGCTCTCTGTTACAGAACAAGTTTACTGACAATATTTATTGTATTGAATTCAAACGTTTTTTTTTTCCTTTTGCACATTAACATTGAGCAAAGGCACTTGCTGTCTGCTGCCTCGCTGTCGTCGGGCAGGCAAACTTTCGAGCGCCTCCTTCCAGTATTGACGTGACGACTGGACGCTCTTGCGGAAAACGTTGGACAAGCTTAATCCGTCATGCGATGTGAACCTGTGAACTCCCCCCCTCCTGCCACTTCATCAGCAAGTACACACAACCTTTGAGTTTATTCATTGCTATCTACAGTAATGTTAACTACTTGTGTAAAACCACCACCCCCCCACCAAAAAAAAAAAGTAACTACAATAAATGTCAGTGTGAAATGCTTTTTTTCCCCTCCCGCATAGTTGACAAAAATGTAGAAGCACAATGCGCCTCAACACCTCTTGTTACCATTTGACTCTAAGACGGCTTTTTTTGGTTGTAAATTATTCGTATTGTGATGCTGTCAAATAAACTGACTGATCATAGTTTTCTGCATGTGGCTTTCTTTTTCAGGAAGTAGGAAGCGATTGAGCTGCTTTGATAGGAAATGCCATTTTTTGTTGTGACACAAGGTCAAAGTGAGTCAAATTATCCACCATTTAAAGCACAAAGTATTGTTTAATAAAAAAAAAAAAAAAAAAACAATGTACAGGAAGTGGACGTCCGATCATTTAATGGTGATGTTGATGATGCTGATGTCTTCGTACGGTTTGTCCGTTTTGGGATGAACTTTGGCGTTAGAGATCCTCTGCACTGCCTCCATGCCTTTGGTGCACCTTCCGAACACCGTGTGCTTGTTGTCCAGCCAAGGCTGCCGAGCACAAACATCTTCAGTACATTTCATGAATACAGCGCTTCTCACAGAGACTAATCATTCTTTTTTTGGGGGGGTCAAGTATCAGAAAGATACAGATTTAAGAAAACCCACCCCAGAAAAGTCAGACGGAAAAAAAACCTCTTTCGCGTTGACTGATGATTAATTGTGGGACGCTGGCTGAACTCACCGTGGGCACCACGGTGATGAAGAACTGTGAGCCGTTGGAGGCGGGGCCCGCGTTGGCCATGCTGAGCGTGTAGGGCCGATCGTGTCTCAGAGTGGCGTGGAACTCGTCTTCAAACTCGCTGCCCCAGATGCTCTCACCACCCATGCCGGTACCGGTGGGGTCTCCGGTCTGGATCATGAAACCCTGAAGACAGCAACCCAGTCTTGCTTCCATTTCAAACTGCACTTCATCCCTTTTGTGGGATTTTGAAATCTAAGCGTCGAATCGAGATAATCCAATTTGGAAAATGCCTTGCATTATATTTTCTGCAATGGCAGTTTTGAGAGTCGCGTTTCTACGTGTTGATCAAGTGCATATTAGTCCCACTCTCCGCTTTGCATTGTTGAGTTAGCATTAGCAGTAGCCGCAGTTTTGCTGACTCCAGAGTACCATTACCACACAAAGTAGTCACATGATACGCATATGCATATGGATGACAGTCATCTTCAAGGATTGGTGGGAATCAGCAGTCCTAAAATAGAGCCTTGAGGGACTCCCAGAGAGCAAGCAGTTTTAGGCAACGCACATACAGATCCGTGCGTGCTATGATCCTGCCGACAGCACAAACCTTGATGACTCTGTGGAAGATGTGTCCATTGTAGTAGCCATTCCTGCTGTGCACACAGAAGTTCTCCACCGTTTTCGGACACCTACGAGGATAAGGAGAGGTGGGCGTTCGTTGGAACATCTCAGGTGCGTCGGCAATGGGAGCCACTCACTCTACGGGGAAGAGCTTGATGTGGATGTCACCCATGGTGGAGTGAATGATGGCGCTGTCCGACACTCGCTTGGGGCCTTCGGCCTGCGTGGCGGCCATCACCTCCTCCTTGGAGGGCTTCTCGTTGAAGATGTCTCGGTCGGAGTCGGCACTCTTGGTGTCCTCTGGTTCCCTCTTTGAGAACTTCAAGACAGAATATTTGCATGAAAACCTCACCTGTTGTCCGTTTTCCAGTACACTTCAATTGGGGTGACAAACAGCTCGTCTCTCTCTTCTCATCTACAGTTTGTCACCATGTAGAATCGGTTCTTCTTGAAGGCGGTGCAGAATACGGTGGGGTCCGGCTCCACGTTCTGTAAAGCCGGATTGTCTGAGGCCTTCATCTCCACGGTGGGCGCCACTTGCATGGCCTTTGCGACCCCTTGAAAGAGACTCAGCTGGACCACGCGGATGTTCTCCTGCTTCCCGAGTATGCGCACGCATCTGCAGGGGAAAAAAAAAAAAATCATTCAGACATTAGCCGCTCGTCTTTTTTATTTTCCTTCTTCTTTAGCTTGAGCACTCACCTATTGGTTTCCACATTGATGACCTTGATGCCCAGCATGGTACCGTACAGGACGAAATGGCCCGTCTCGTCAAAGATGATGTTGGTGAGTCGGATGCCGTCCACTTTTTCCAACTCTCGCTCCACCGCCATCCGCCGGCCAAACTCCATGTCCGGCAGCTGTTGCCTCATTTGCTGCAGCTCTGTGAACATCTGGCACAGCGGCAGCCAACAAGCCACAGTGGTAATGATGGAGTAAAGATGTTTGTTTTTTTAATCAGAGTAAAAAAATGTTTAGAGATACATCAAGCCATCTCTGATTAAAATTTGCCGTTGAGCAGTGTAATTAATAAAATGTACTCAAAAATGAGTCACCAGGGGCACTTTTTAGATCCGTATCCCAATGTACTTGCATGAAATAGGTTGTTTTTGTCATTCTAAATCCAAGTGAAGCTGAATGTCAAGGAATTGGAATTAAACTAACCGGATTTGAAAACCAAAGAATGAAAATGAAGAGTTTTGCTAATCTAAACGGTCACCTCGACTAGGACTTACCGTTAAGGATTCGTCAAACACTCTCATCAGTTTCCCCGTGAGAAAGCGGAAGATTCGGACTTTACGGTCAGACGCCATGGTGGCCATTTTCTTGCCGTCGGGCGAGAACACCAGGCTGGTAGGGTAGGTTTTGTGTTTGGCGAACTCGTACAAATCCGTGTCAGTCTTGTATTGCCACTGCACGTGTTTGGGGAACTTGAATTCCGAGGGCAGGCCGGTCCAGTACTCCAGCATTCCCGCTTTGTCCGCGGAGACGACCACTCGAAATTTGGCATTCAGGCGGATCTGGGACAGCGGCGAGGAGTGCATCTTCTCGAAGACGTGGAGAGGCTCGCCGCTTCCTCGGCCGTCGTAGACAAAAATCTTGCCGGTGGATTTTTCTGAGCAGGCCACCGTGGAAATGGCATCTCCGGGATTGTGGACCCACTCGCTCTGTCCTGGGTGGAAGCTGCAACAAAAACGAAATGGACGAACCTCTCAATTCAACCCCAAGTAATTTGCGATATCACCATCGCAACAGTTCATGGCAATGCAACCAATTGCTGTGAATTACGCGCCAGGTTGCAATGTCATCCAAACTGCAACGTTTCCCAAAAGGGACCAAACATCAGAGGTTCCGGCCAGTTTCAGAGCCGAACAAAATTGCATCTGTGCGATTTGTCTCGTGGACTCACCCCAGCTTGAGCATGTTGATCATGTCAAAGTTGACGACGTCAAAGACCTTCATGGCCTGGTCGTCGCCGACCGAACACAGGAGAGAGCCGTCAGCACTCACCGCGATACTCTCGATCACACCTGCACAGAAAAAAACCCACACGCGGACAATTTGGAGTGTGCGCATATTGTAAAATCTTACGATCTCATTTTGGGCAGATTTCTATGGTAAGATAAAGGGGAGACTCTCAAATAAAAAAAATCACAGCTTACCAAGATGACTCCGAAAGTGTTTGACAAATTCGATTCCCTCGTCCTCCTTTTTCTTCCAGAACTTGACATGACCATCTTGACTGGCTGTGATGACAAAGTCTGTCCTAAAAAACAAACAAAAAAAACAACAACATAGACAAGGAGCCATTAGCATCCACTGATGGACGCACAGGAAAGAGCTGTAGAAAACAAACTTACTTGGAGCAAACAATGTGTGTGATCACATCTCTGTGCATGTAGCTCCTTTCATACATGGCAGCTGAAGGCAGGTTGTCCAGGTAGACGCGTTCATATTCCAGAACTGGGCCAAACATTGAAAGAACGGTGAACATTTTGTAAATATCCCACACCTCATTGGTTGTAGCATCTTCTCGTGCAATGACCGCAGCTAATGCTGCAGGATCTCTTCGTAAACGTGCTAGTGGCTCGTCTGCCCCATGTTGAAAAGGAAAAACTCAATAGTTTTGGGTTTGATATTTTCTTGCGGCGTGTACATATATCATGGTATTTTCTAAAACGCCGAACCATTCATTTCGGGTTCTTGCGCGATGACTCTGTCTCGGTGTTTAACAAATCACACCCACCTTTCCTCTTCTTGGTCGTCGCTGCCTCGCTCGGCATGGGCCCGACCCATTCCTCATTTTCTCCGTCCTCATCCTGAGTTTGATCAGCTTTTCGCTTCAGTTCCACATTGTTTTCAGCTGCCGCCATTGTCGACGAACTTCCGCCATGTCCCGTTCGGAATTACGGTACTTCCGTTCGGCTCTCAAAAACCCGGAACTAATTTTGGTTGCCGCTGTTTCACGGGGGGACGATTTTCAAACGGCGCGTGGGTCTAACCAACTCATCACTTTTAGGGGTGAAGCGAGAATTTCGTTCCTTGTATGTCGCAAATCCATCGATATACGCCTTCAATCCAAGCATATATATGACTTAAATAGTAACTGCACGAAATTTTATTTAAGTACGCTTAAATAAAATACTGGATAAATAATCAATTCGTCACAATATTATTATTCCCGCCTCACACAGGGACGTAAACGATACGGTCGCACCAGGCAGGTAGTGTCGCTAATTAAACTGTATCTTCTGCCGCAGAACGTCGTTTTGTACAATAAAAACTTAAAGCCCGCCTTTAAAAAGTAGTGGGGAAACAACCGTTGTCGCGAAAATGAGCAATATATACATCCAAGAACCACCCACGAATGGAAAGGTGAGCGGACTCAAATGTGTCACATTTAACTACAACTAGGGCCTTTTCAACTACTGTATGTTTCACTAATCCACTCTACTTGTCGTGGAAGGTCTTGTTGAAGACCTCCGCGGGTGACATTGACATCGAGCTGTGGTCCAAAGAAGCTCCGAAAGCATGTAGGAACTTTGTTCAGCTGTGCATGGAAGGTAAACGGTTACACAGTTCAAGTTTGAAGTCGTTAAATGGACACAGTTGCTTGAATAATGGCTCTCATTCTCATCGGGGCAAAGGTTACTACGATGGAACAATATTCCACAGGGTGGTACCTGAATTTATCATACAGGGTGGAGATCCAACTGGGACCGGAACAGGAGGAGAGTCCATCTACGGCAGGACGTTCAAGGTTGGGATGGAATGCCGGTCCCTCTAACTCACGAATGAAAATCTTTCCATAAGACTATCACCATGATGTCACACGTTCTACCACTAGCTACCCATTGGTCACAAACATTGGGTATTGGCCTGTATGGAAGACGTGTCCAGCGTAATGGTTGTCTCTACTGCTTCCACCCTCAGGATGAGTTTCACACCAGACTGCGCTTCAATCGAAGAGGTTTGGTCGCCATGGCCAACGCCGGGACACACGACAATGGGAGCCAGTTCTTCTTCACGTTGGGACGTGCCGATGAGCTCAACAACAAACACACCATTTTTGCCAAAGTGAGTTTGAAACGAAGCTCTTCCCGTTTTTGCGTCCAGACGTTCGACACAAACTAAAGCGCTGCTTGCAGGTGACGGGAGACACGATCTACAACATGCTCAGGTTAGCGGACGTGGAATGTGACGGCAACGAAAGACCTTTGAATCCCCACAAAATAAGAACGGCCGAGGTAAGATATTCCGGATTCTCAAATCATACACGATTCACTCATTTGATTTTCTTTCTTTCTTTTACGATTCCAGGTGCTGCACTGTCCTTTTGATGACATTGAGCCACGTGAAACGAAGAAAGCAAAGAAGGAAAAAGAAAAAGACGAAGGAAAGAAATCACAGTCAAAAGCCACAAAGTAAGTCACGTTTAGTCATGATTCACATGAACGGGTAATTTTTGTTTACTCATAAATCCGTAAACACCGGCGTCACTGTATATATATTTGTCTGTCAACTGAAGGAACTTCAGTCTGCTGTCATTCGGCGAGGAGGCCGAAGAAGACGAGGAGGTGGTCAATCAAGTTAGTCAGGTAGAGATGGCTGCTTGAAAACATTCGGTGCTTCGGATCGATTTCCCTCTATATTTGTTGTCGCCCCAGAGCCTGAAAGGAAAGAGCAAAAGCAGCCACGACCTCCTGAAGGATGATCCCAGGCTGAGCTCCGTTCCAGCTGTTGATAAGTAATTGGATTCATGAATTCATTCATCAGGGCCCCACCAAATCATTGTCCAGCCAAAAAAAAGTTTTTATTAAATTTTTAATCAGAATGTCAGTCTGGCAAATTTCAGAACTGGCATCAGCCTCATAAAATTCATATTGGGCAGGCACTGATAATAATTTGATGATAATAATAAGCAGGACTAATGACATGTCATCTTGTTTGTCTTTTCAAGAGGAGAGAAGACATCTGGAGATGAAGCAGAGGTACGTTCAAATTAAACTCGAAAGACACTCATCATATATTACCCAGATGTGTGGTCGCATTCTTACAGGAGGACGACAAGAGCGAGAAAATGAGTGAGCTGGTCAGAGCCAAGCTGAAGAAGGAGAAGAGTGCTGCGAAAGCCAGCGAGCCCCAAGACGAGGAGGAGCGGGGCAAGAAGAGCAGCCGCAGGTATGACTGCACACGTACGTGTATTTTACACAGAGCCCAGCTGCCTAAGTGTCACTCTCACTTGATGTGGGCTGAAAAACTGTAAAACCGACACATAAAAAAAAGAGAGAGAGACTGAGACTGTATATTTAAGCACCAACATTTTGACCCAAACCAGATCAAAAACGGGCTTTTTTTTTCCCCCTCTCCTTGTATTATTACACTTGTACAGTAAGGTAACTCTCTGCTGGGGGCGCTGTTGATCTTCACTTTGCTCAGTGGGTGATCTGCACCTCTGTTAAGTTTGACCACGTGAACCCTTTCGATTCCACTGCAGAGTCTCAAGTATTTCAAGTTTGCTGTTCCAAAATAGTCATTGTTAATTTACTTTTATGGGCTATTAAGCACTCCCTAATTACTATACCGGAATGAAAAAAAAAAATTATACAGTCAATATTCTTGGACCATTACTCCGGAGTGCTGTTAATTACGACATTGCTAACATGTAATTGCAACATGCCAGATCAAAGTGTCTTTTGCGTCATAATTATTTAACACATTTCCCTGTGTCAAATGGAAAGTTTCTAATTTGCAGTGTTCCCAAAATTCCCTGTCTAATGTTTCCACCATCATATTACCTCACTGAATTGAACAGACATGCCATTAATCCGCCCCCCCCCAAAAAAAAACTAAAATGTTCATGCTTGTGAATAAATGTATCTATAATCTACAGTATATATCTGTAATATTTCACAGAGGATAATCAAATGGACCGTTTGTAGATCATTACGTGGATCATGACATGTTTGCTTTTAACAATGCACAGCTTGAAGCCTCTTTTTTGATGAATTATTCACCATTGAAAGTGAGATAGCACCATTGAAAGCATGTGCAAAATATCCACGGTTAAAAAAAAACAAAAACACCCGATGAGCACGTGAGAGAAAGTGACTGTCGCGCTCCTCTCACTCATCTCGTCAACAGGTAGCCCTCTCAGCACATAGAATGGAACTCGCCCTTCTCATTAGTGCTAATGGGATAAACTTGTGTGTGTGTGCACGTGTGTCGGCGCGCTTGACTGACAGCCAGGCCTAGTGTAGTTTATTAAACACAAGCACAGATTGTTTTGCGACAAGAACTTTAACCCAACACAGTAGTTTGTCTTGGCATGGCATCACAGAGCTTGCTGCAAGGTACACTGTTAGTCCTGCATAAAGGGGGCATTGTGATGTTTGAAGAGGGGCTGGCGGGGGGGCGGGGGGGAGGGGGGGGGGCTCTATCAGGCCACCATCCCAACACTCTGCCGCCGTCAACTGCTTTGATTTGATTCGACCAGAGCTCATATCCACTCAAAGTTTGGTTACTTCAGTCGTAGTTTCTGCTCCGTGCAAGTCTTGCTGATATTCGGCAGAGGGTAGCAAGCATCCAGAGCCCACACCGAAATACATATTAAAGTCTGCAGGCGGGACCCAAAGGGGGATGGCTGACGGACACATTTAGAGTGACTCTGCAAGAAATTCGCATGGATTAGGGAACCAGCCCCGTTGTTAAAAGCGAAAAAAAAACCCCAGACTGAAACTGATTAAAATCATTTGTAATAATAGTCTCAACTGAAAATATACCCCAAACTATGATCCCGAAAGTTATTTCAAGCGCATCTTCCAAATTTACCCCGAAAATGAAACATTCACGGCAAGTGCGTGTTTACATTCGCGTGCGGCAAAAATTCCGCTAACAACCTGGGCTAAACTTAGCGCCGTCCGTCTCGCCGTCAAGGCGCTTCATTTCAACATCCTTCCTTGACACCAGTGACTACTTTCCTTTGAGCGAAGGCTCTAGTGACGTCTTTGGGCATTACAGACAGAGCACGAAAATACGGCGAGACTTTCAGCGAAGAACTGAGGATAGATTACGTAGAAAGCCAAGCCCAGACTAAAGGAACTAGCTAATGACAGCATGTCATGGATCTGATAATTACACTCGTTTGATGCTGTATTCATCTGCAATTGGAACTAAGCGCGCGCATGCGCGCGTGTGTTATGTGGTAGCAAAGTGCCTCCATATGTCTGCTCCCGCGCATCACTTCACCATTGGCGGCCGAAGACAGCGGTTGACTTCCTGTTAGTCATCGTCATGGTTAGTTAGCTCTGTACTGGCGTTTTCACGCTAGTACTCTTTCGTCTGTTTTTAATGACCCTCTAGTTGGTTTCGCCCTCTGGTGCGGACCAAATCGACCACAGGTGGTGGGGGTAGGCTTCCAAACGCTGCCTCGCCTGCTTTGCGTGTGATGTTAGAACCAGCCTGGAGCCTGCTTGCTTGTCTAGGGAATGTTTGCGATTTTCGAAATTTGCGAAATTCATGTCTTCACTCAGGCCTCCGCTCCAGACTGCCCCTAAATGGTGGCAATTTGTTTTTCATCGACTCGTGCATGTGCATCCAGTAAATTTCCTTTTTTATTTGGATTATTCTGGACTATTATTTTGGGTTCCTGACAAACTCCGGCTCCACACTTCAGCCCATTTATGATGACTGTAGTAAAAATGAGTGGAAAACATTTGCACAAGTCAATTTACAATGTCTGCCTCTTTAATGTTCAACTTGCGCTCCTAAAATTTCAGGTTAGGGGCCACTGTGTTCCTAGTTAAAGAAAAAAAAGAATTTGAAATCCTGCCACTGATATTTTTGGGGGAACGTATCCTCGACTATTTGCTGAGAAACTCGGCCATGAGCTGTTTTTGTGCTCAGGCCAAAGCACTGTCTAATATAAAAGTTGTCTTACTGCGCCATCTTGTGGCATCCTGGTGTCAAGGAATAATGTCGACGCAGGAGGAAAAACCTGGATTGCCACCGCCCAAATCCCTTTGATTTGCTGCCATCTTTTGGCAACAATAGCGAATAAATCTTTTTGGTGAGGTGTCAAAACCATTTTGTCTGCATTCGATGAGCAACCATTAGTGCGTACAGCAAACTTTCTTCCTCTTTGCGCTCTCGTGACCAATAAAAGAAGACAACCAAGTCACATGGCAGGGTGGGGCGACTTTGTGTGAGAGCTGTGGCTGACAGCAGCTGCTGCGAGAGTGTGCTCACTGTGTTTAGGTTTCCTCCCAACAGTCCGGTCCCTGCGCCCGAAAGGTTTGCGAAACCCCTGCCTTCACCGTCATATTACTTTGCCGTATTACATCATCATCCTCATCGCAAGCCACAGAGTCATTGACGGCACGCCCCTGGATCATCTGCATCCAAAGTGGGTCATCAGACACAATGCGCGGGCCAGCCAGCACCGCTGCGTCTTCGCCGGCTTCATTGGATGCGAGCCGGCGCGCTCTCACTCACTGAGGCCTTGCAGAGTTTATGCAGCCTCGGTCGGTGTGTGTTTGCGTGCGCGTGCGTGCGTGTGTGTGGAAAACCACTTGAGATAATCCAGCGCTTGGCTGCGGGATTGTGTACGTTTGGGAGTCGCCAGGTTTACAGAACTCTGGCCCAGTGCAACACAGCTGCGCCGCATGGGTCGCTCGCTCCCTGGCCGGCTGGTCGGAAAGGCTTCCAGACAGACTTGCACCCCGAGGGGTTAAAAAAAAAAAAAAAAAAAAAAAAAAAAAAAAAGAAAGATGCGTAAAAATTACAGCAAAATACCTCAGACCTTGTACCGGTTTGGTGTCCCACCCGCCATCGGTGAAAATCTATAATAGCGAAACACTTTTATATCGTTTTTCCCTCTCCCACATGTTTTCCATCGTTCTGCTTGTGAAAACACACTCTCTTCCTTGCTCACGTCTCCAAATAAGAGGTACAGCGTGTTCGAGCTGTTTGATTGATTTTATTGGTTCTATTTAAAGACCAAAACGCTCACCCGAACTATACAGTTTTGTCTAACGAAAGTCCGCCGTCTTAAAGCTAATAAAGTATTGTGAAACATCCTAGATGGACCAATGCAAATTAACATTGATTTTGTGTGTGAAAAGTCTGCAAAATAGCGCGTGCGCATAGAGTAAAACTGCGTTATATTTCCATTATACCCTCATTTTAAAGATGGTTTCCCTATAGAGGGTGTAAATACAACCCCTGCTGTATACATTGGAAGCATACGCTTTGCTGTCTGGCATCATGGCGGCGGCCAGATAGGGAGGCGGTTGGGGGCTGTGGTGTAATATGGGGGCCGGGTTGTTGCAGGGGAGGGGGTGGTCCTTGCGTGGCAGACGATGTTGTAAAACAGGGACCCGCGGTGGGCCGCGCGTCGGTCTGGAGCGCTGTGCCGAGTCATGCAAATTCCTGTGTGGAGCTTTGGATTCCTGCTCTCCAGCTCACAGTTCTGTTTGGCCCGGGCCCAAGCCGTGGAGTGCCCCCCGAGGCGAGTTCACCCAGCCCGTTGGTCTGCATCACTCGCTTGGTCATGACAGGAGACGGCCTCGGCCATCCTTGCGGTCTCCTCGCTGTGCGCGGCCACATAGCGAGGCGTTAAATTTGACTTGTTTTAATAGACCTCTAACTCATTTCAACGGCCGCTTTATTTGAACAGTTGGCCTTTATTTCTTACTCCAAGCCCGTAAACCGAGAATGCAGAGAAGTCCAAAAACGACAAGCACGCCCGCACCGATATTTCGTAAAACGATCGGGTTTTCGTGCAGTCATCGCGTGGCTATTTTAAGCTTTGTAAAAGTCCCGCGTCAGACTCAGACCTTTGCCAGACACCCGAGTCTTCTGGAGGTTCTGGATCACTGCCAGTCTCCTCGATGCTTTCTTTATGAAAAGTTATTCGCCCGCAGCTCTTTCTTTGACTTTCACTCCCTTTTATCATCCTGAGAGAGGGACAGCAGCTGTGCAGTATCTTGAGAAGATCCGGAAGCGGACGCATTTAAGATGTTTGTCTGTACAGACCGTCGCGTCCTGCGGCCCTTTCATTTTGGAGAGTGTACAGTGCAAAACCACCATACGTTATCTCACACTGTGGCTCTGTTTGGAATTGTCGACTCATTTCCTACTCCCTAGTCACCATGTTGGGATTATTATATAGTGCAGTGGCATTTATAGGTCAGGCATTGGTCAGAGGAAGAACAGTTTTTCAACATTACTCGGGCGCGCTGTTCATTTCATTATCGCTGTCGCATAATTACAAAGTACCGGATCAACCTCAGCTTTCCAAAATAAATAGTCAAGTCACATTTTATTTCTCTAGCCCTTAATCACAAACAGTCTCAAAGTGTTTCACATGCCCACAGTTGACCAATATTCACGACATCCCCTGACCTTAACCCCCAGGAGGGCAAGGAAAAAAGAAAAAAAACATCTGGGTGAAAGTGAGAAACCTTGAGAAGGGGCCGCAGATGGGAGAATTCCCTCTTCCAGTATGACCAGGCTACAATGGATGCCGAGTGGGCACCATTTGACACAATATTGTACTATTGTGCAATGTTAGTTCGATGCCTGCGGAGGAATTCGTGGAGCCCTAAAGTATGTTCCGGTCCCTTTCTGATCTCCTTCCCTTTATTGGTGGCAATTGTTTGGCCGTCGCGACAGAGTGGTATTTTAAACTACGCATAAAACAGAGCGCTTGCACAATGCACACTGTGTATTTAAAAAAAAAAAAACACAACTTTTACTTTGGAAAGGCTGCTTGCTTAATTCTTACGCACATGCAAAAATGTGTCAGTCAAAGCATTGCAGCAACCCCATGTGGATCAAGTAGACCTTCCACCAGGGTTAAACATCTAATAGAAGAAGAAGAAGAAGAAGAAAAAAATGGACAGTCTGAAGAAGCAGACGTCAGAAACAAAGGCCGTCATTGTTTAGTCTGGAGATGCTTCACGTTGCTGCTCCGGGGGCCCAGACGCTGCAGCTTACCTGAGCTTTGAGAGCATGGCAGCAACACAATAAGTGTCAGGCTTACCAAAACATCATCAGTCCCCAGCTGAACATCTGCAAGCCTGCGTCATATGAGGCGGTGCGGTCCGACCTGACCGGCACTTCTCGCCCCGCAGGAGCCCCGCTTTTCGGGCTGCCCGCCAAGTGGGTCGGCTCCGCGGGTCAAAGAGGCCGCATCGCTCCCCCCGCCCCGGCTTGCTCGTGTTATCCACCTTGCTTGAAAACTTTATGTAACGACTCCACATTTGAAGAGGGCGAATCTAAACAACATTTACTGGCACGCATACGGAGGTGTCATGGAGTTTAAAGACACAGTCGTATCCCAAACGATCCTCTTCTCTACACGGATGACCGTTGAGAGCTTTTCCCTCAACGCCGCAAACCACTTAAGAGAGAGGAGGAGATGTTACTCATAACTGGAAGATATGTAGCTCCATAAATAATGTGCATAATGATGATATACAGGAGAAGGTGGTGACGCCGGTCAGCCTGAAATTTGTTGGGATTTAGAGTCAACTTTTCCCATAGGAAACGCAAATAGACAGACCGCACTAATATTAGTACTTATTTAGAGAGGATAAAGAATATATGCCTGTGACTATTGTTATATTATCCGTCTACATGTTTATGTTCAATTGCCTGCGTACGGTGTTTGAAGCCAAATCGACTTTACTAATGCAAAGCTGTGTGATTGTTTACAATTCACATCCTGTAGTTCTCGTTGTTCACTTTGACAGTGAACTTGGAACAGTTCCAGTTCGTCACTATCAGTATAACCTACGTTACTGTACGGTGGGCAGTTTATTAATTTTTTTTGTAGATTACATTTGAATATTTGTAACTTTGCATGTGCAAAAACAACACTATACATGTTAATGTACAGGGAGATTACCGCGTGTGGCAGGGACGCGAGTCTCTTCAGACGAATGACTTCGGTCTGCTGACCTTGCCTTATACCAGACATCCATTTTCTACTGCTTAGGCCATCCTTGTCATCGTCAAACAACTGTTTTCTGGGTGATTTATGCAGTTGCGCAAAACCATTCTTCATTTTTTGGGCCATTCAAATGGAGGCTAGCGCCACCCGGGTATGGACAGTTCTGCCAAATCCTCTCCTTTATTCATTTGTTTGTTTCTCCCTCCCCAGCCAAGAGTTGCGTAAGGAAGTTCGCCAGTTGAAGAAGGAGCTGAAGGCGTTGAAGCAAAGAGAAGATGGCCCTAAGCCCGCCATGGATGAAGTCAAGGAGGGTATGTGGGCCATGTTTCTTCACTCTTATTGTTTTGTTTTGTTTTGTTTTGTTTTTTTAATACAAGGCACATTTTAATGGTGTTTTAAAACCGCCTCCAGCAAACTCTTACCACTCTTGAGAGCAGGGTGGTCCGTTCTGCATTCTCGACTAATGGTCACTTAGACAGACGGGGAAGCTTCTGATTGTGTCAGTTAGTTGCAGATGTCTATTGTTATCTCCTACAAGGTTCTGCATTCTTCTCGCAGAAAATTACATTTGGAAAAAACAAAAAATCGGTGAATATGCAAATCTACGGGTGCCAAGCTGCGAGTATGCGGGAGTCTTTGCTTTGTGCTTCCACCTTAGCTGCAGGACGGGGAGAGCTTTGTCACTTTGCTCCCGCATTGGGTACAAAAGTTAATTCCACCATGTGGAATTGTTGCAAGTCACGGGCCAGTGGCCGCAACGTCTGTCGGGGGTCTGTAAATTTCAGCTGCAGTGCTGTCCAAGCTGCACGTACTGACGAGACTGTACCCGCCATCTTAAATCACCCTCCTGCCTTCTCGTCAGACCTCCAAGCAGCTCACTTCACTCACGGGGGGAAGCACTTTACATTGGCACTAAAATATTTGAGGGCTGCAATAAATGATTACTGTGCCACTCATTGTTCTCGAATAAGTCATTGACAAATCATCAGGCTTTTAAAGTGTCAAAAAAAACAAAAGAAGTTACAAAATCTCCTCTGCGCTCCAAACCCCAAATATTTTACTGAAGCAGCAAAACCAAACAAAGAAGAGCCTGCGACCAAAGGAATGTTTTGTATCTTGGCACCGTGCTCGTGTTGTAAAGCTCCAGATGGGATGGACCCGACTACCGTATGTGGGCCGCAATATCGTCCGCGCTCATGGAGGTAACTGGCAAGGTTGTTAGAGTGAATGCAAAACGAATAAAATAACGAAAATTGAAAACAACTTTTTCGTTCACAAAATGAAATGAAAAGGAGAGTGCTGTTAAAAAAAACAAAAAACAGTAGCTAATTGAAACTACATTTTCATAACTGTCTTTTTTGATTGATGATCGAAAGCGAGGCTGTTTCAGAGATTGGCGTTGCATCACTCGCCAAAAATCAGATTGTTATCTTATAAAAGACTGGTTGCTACAACACGGAGCATCTTGATTTGTTACCCTGGCGGAGCCCGGGTGACTGGTGAGGGCAGGAATCTAGTTCGAAAGCCCATCAAACTTTAAGCTAGTCAGGAGGGACAACAGCTGGAGAGGCCAATGCGAGTTCAAAGACAACATTTTTCCTTGAGATTTTGTCTGTAGTTGCCACTACAATAGCAATCTCAGTACACAAACATCGTTTTTATTTTGTTTCCACCAAAGAACCGTTGACAGTTCGTTTGATGTGCATGAGGAGTTATTGTCCTCGAAAAACATGGATATATTCAATGCTTAATAGTGTTGCAAATGTTCATGGTGGCTTATTTGGCCAAGCGCCTGTTGCGACAGATGACGAACCCGGGATGATGCCGATGGAACACATCGGTGACACATTTTTACTGCCCTATTCCGCAGTGTGTTCAGAGAGGTAACTCTGAGGCAGCCAGACGATTCATTTTGTGACTTTTAAATGACATGCAGGACAAACATACGTTGGTGTAGTGTTCAAATCTTTGAGTGAGTTGATTTTTGTGAAAAATCTTGTCTACGGACTGATAAATCATCCGCCTTGATCACAAACTTGACATTGAAGCATGCGACTGCTGCTAGCTCGCTCGCCAGACATGGAGCTGGCTTAGCTGTGGTTTCTGTTAGCTCATTTGTTTGTTAGCGCAGTAAAACATGAGCATCGCCACAGACGTCTGTCATGCGCACCCCGCAACAAAACATCACATCACGCTGCATCTTCCGCCAGCCAGACCAGACCGTCTGCTGCTCGGTGACCTCACGTCGGGAGTTTCACACCAGACACCGCCGCCAGAGGTGGGGTGGAAAAAATATTCTCAGCTGCATTTAGTACACAACACTTTCTTGTTGTGTCGTGTTGGACTTGCGGACGGGTATATGACTCCCGAGCCAGTCAGAAACCCTAATTAAAAGCCGCACTTCCGCCAAGTGGTTCAGTTCGGTTCGCTACATGGGGGTGGCTGCTATTACTTTGTTGTACGAAGTACCAAAAATCTTAATTCTCATCTGTTTGAATAAACCAGGTGGTGACAATCTTTTCTCTCTGATCATGTTATCCACATTTTCTGGCTTGCCATTTGTCAACGCCGGCTAAGCCGTGAGGCTGGGGAGAAAGTGCTCCTTCAAAAACAAAAGCCGCTGGCTCTACAAACTTGCCATCCAAAGCAGCGATACGCACTAACTGAAAATGTGCGCATTTCCTGCCCTTCATATCAAAGTGGGCGTGGTTATCAATTGGTCCTAAAAGATTATCCCGAGTCTCAATTTTTCGACTTTTCAAAGTATTGGAGATGTAACATGGCCCTTTTCCAGCGCACATGTGGGGGCTACGTAATGACGTAGCCCCTACTTGGCTCTTTGCCGGTGGAAAAGCAAACACGTTCTTGGTAAGAACTTGTGAAGCACCAACGAAGCACAGCACTGGCCCTGGCGCCGAACGAGTACCAAGGTTTTTTTTTGGAATGGAAAAGGGATAAAAGAGGTTGAACGTGGCCCCAGTGCGTTAGCCGAGTCTCAAGTTGTGGTGTTATTTACGGTCGGTAACACCTCGCCTGTTTGTCCAGAGAGCAAAAAGCCGACCAGCGAGGCTGTCGCCGAGTATCTGGAGGAGAGGAAGAAGTACGAGGAGCGGAGGAAAGACAAGCGCAAGAAAGGGTCGGGCAGAGAGGAGCAGGTAAACAATACCAACAACAATGCCCGACGGGTATGAACCCTGACTTGCAGTGGACTTTGAAAAGAACCCCCGCAGCGTTAATGTTGAGTTTTCTCAACAGACGATGGAGCTGCTCAATCGTTTCAAGTCCAAGCTGTCGACGGCCATCAGCGAAGCCCCGGAGGAGGAGGAGGAGGAGGAAGAGCTGGCCGAGGACGACGACAAAGGATGGTGAGCGCCCCAATGGTGATGGCCGTGGGCTATTTTAAAAATGGGCTTGGAGGGGCGCCTTTTAGTGCTCTAATTTAAAAAAAAAAAAAAAATAGAATAAATTGGATAATTCCAAGATGAGTACAGTCGTGTTCAAAAAATCTTTCACATAAAATTTCACAAAAGGTAAAGATTCTTAAAAAGTTTCATTTTCTTATATTGTTGCTGTTTGGCAGAACCCTTCTATGTCTATTTCAAATGTTATTGTTGATACTCTTAGTCTGTCCCCACATTGTCTGCTATTTCTGCTAATTCAGTGTTGAAAATAGCTTGAGAAGAATGTCTTCACTCTCAAGAATGCTAAACTGTCCCTGAAGTGTTGTACAACATTGCCTCCTCCCTCACTCTGCGGTAGCCGTGTGGCAATATGTCACCTCAAGATTGAAAATCTCGCGATTTTTTTCGACAGCGAGTGAAAATGTTTTGCTAAAAATGAATTGCTGTCATGCTTCGGTGCAGAAGAAACTAGTCAGCCATGAAGGCAAGTACACGCATTGAAACTGCCTAGTCAGCTCACCAATGGCATCGCTCATGACTCGAAGACCTTGAAAAAGAGTTTCCAGACACTCATAAAGTCAGGAGGATAATGAGGCCCCGCTCATACTTAATATCTTGATCACGTGAGCTTCTCATGCTTCAATTTGGCAAAAAAGTTCAGGACGCGGGTCCAAATTGCATGTTTGTAACTGGCACCTGCTACGTTTCACCGTGCCGTTTTCTGCCCGAATAAAAAAGCCGCGGCAGCGCATCCAACCTTCCACTCGCTTAGAGGCGTGTCATAGTTCAGGGGGTACGTACAGTATGTGCACGCGTCAGCTCGCCGCCGCCAGGAAATAGGTCTTGACGCTCTGTTCTGCTCTCATATTCTGTTTTTCAACGCGGATCTTAAGAGCAAGTCCAGTTTGAAATGAATACCATGTGTGTGAATGAGAGATTTAGAATAACACAATCTGTTGTTGCCATTAGTCTCCAGGAGTGTGTGCGAGCGGACGGTTGTTGGGGTGGGGGGCTAATGAATTTGAGAGAAGCCTTAGTTGGTAGACACCTCGCCGCACTGCCCCCGCCAGGTATGGCAAAGGCTCAGGGGGTGGTTAGCCTCGCGTTCCTGGAAAAACAGCAGTGGGAAATGTGTGCCACTGCAGGAGCTGCGCACTCAGAATGTGGGTTACAACAGGTCAGACACTGGAAGTCAAGTCTGGGACAGAGGAGGTAAACTATTCCATCTGTGTCGGCGCAAAGACCCCCACCCCCACCCCCCACAGGCCCCCCTCGCCCTGCTGCCTCGACTTTTACGAAACCCACCTCTCCACCCCGCCAGAGAGAACAAGGCCAGAAAAATAAACAGCAGAGGCTTCTGTAGCTTTGCATCACATCCTGCGTCTCGCCGTAGCCCCTTTCTCACAGACGTCCAGAAGACACAGTCGAGTGGATGTTGTATGGAAAATGGAGCCCTTTGAAAATGGACCCCGGGGTAAAATATCTTGCTGCGGGTTTTAGAAATCTGCCACAGTTCGGCTTAGGGTTAATCAGGGTTAAGCTTCTAATGGAAACTGGCAGCCACAAATGATTTTTCATTGATGCTTAAATTTGTTCATTTTTTTATAATTATTAACACTTCAGTGTCTAATTGGGCAGCAGTCCATATTCTGTTGCGGGTCTTTTTGCCCAGGTTCCTGCAACCTAGTGACCTCACATTTGCCTTTCACACAAAATCCAGATAAGCGGATGAAACTTTGACTTTGCTTTACCTGGTGAATTAAAAGAGAGCTGAAATCCCAGCTGGCAAGAATGAAATTGGAAACCCTCCTTTGACTCTTAACAGTGTCAGTGTTTAAAGTTATTGTATTCAAACACCCAATATTTTTTCTGTGGACCAATAACAGTGGCACTAAAATATCTACAGTCAGTTGAGTAATGAATTCTGGCCCGTCTCATAGTTGCTAAATTAGCAATCTAAACTAGCTAGCCCTCCCGGTACAATTTATGCTAAGAAATCAATGACCCGGCAAACTGATTGACCCGCTCTCCCATCTCCACCGCATCCAGGCTCGGCCACGTGCTGCAGTTTGACGAGCAGTCTCGCAAGGTCAAAGACGCTAACATGCAGGACGAGGACACCTTTGAGATCTACGACCCGCGGAACCCCGTCAACAAGCGGCGGCGGGAGGAGAGCAAAAAGATCATGAAGGAGAAGAAAGCCAAGAGGTGAGCTCGTGGGGGGGGCCGAGGTGGTGACGGGTGGTCTGTGGCTTCGGAAGCTCGGGTCCTGTTCGAACCAGACCCTTCTTTATTAAGCGATTCCCAAACAAACAGATTCAGGGGGCCGACTGTGTTGTGACCGTGTTGGGACACTTGTGGACAGTCGCTTACGAGTCATTTGTGATGTTTTTGTGACGAGCGGGTTGACAATAAACTGGATCGACTAGTGATTGATTACAGACTAATGATTAGTTTTTGCCCTTTTCTCTTGCTTGTGGTCTTGGTACAGTGACCCCCCCCACTGTATCGACTGGAACACACACACATATATATATATATATATATATTGTATATATACATATCCCTGCAATAAATGGGATTCACTGTACTGTACTTCAAAACAAATGTTGAACTAGTCATTGTAATGCAGCAGATAAAGCAATGTCCTGGTTCAGAGCTCCAAGATGTCAAAGCAAACACTTTGGTGGTTTTGGGCGCGTATGACCAGAAGCTGCATTTGGCAAGCATGCCATTTTTTTTTTTGAGTTTTAACCGCACTTCTGGGATTAAGCTTAAACATGCATGTGGAACAGGAAGCAGAGTTAATGTTACATGAGCCGCCACTAATCTAAAACAGGTGTCACCGCGGCACCAGTGTGCAAGTCGGGATGTCGTGGGACACGCCCACCTACATGGTGTGACTTGACATGACATTCGGATGGATCTATCACATAATCAATGCCGTGTTTCCTCCCGCCGGTATTCATGATGACCGCGACCTTGCACAATAGAAATAAAAAGAACTATTGTACACTGTACACACAAAGTCACTGTATGTCACAAAGTCGGGAAAGTTGAAGTAATACAGTGTTGGATGTGAACGTGATGAACATTTAGCAATCTAACTTAACTGTAGATTGTTGCTCCCACCGCTTATTAATGATAACCGCCTCCTCACACAAAAGCAACAAACAGACCTTCAACTCCTGTAAAGCATAAAGTCACGTTGTTGCGGTCATGCAGTGTTGTATCGTGAGGCGACGTTTTCCCCAAAATGACTGAACGTGAGCATTGGGTGTTGTTGGCCACCTAGCGACTTGCTGTGAGTAAAGTGGGTCAGCAATTCAAGAAGTAGGTCACTTGTTTGCTATCAGGGAGGGGGAAACCCCTCCTCTCCCCCGCTAATATTCTCACCTCGGTGGTCTTAATTGCAAGCAAGTCTCTCCAGAGTGTGCTGGCTATGTGAGAAGACACAGGCGTGAAGACGGAAGGGTCCATATGCTGTCGGTGGACCTGAGGGCTCAAAGGCGTGCTGCGACAACACGTGAACTGATTGCCAGCCAACATGTTTTGTTCAAAATGCAAGTGCGCCGTGACTTAAGCAAAATTGCTTTGGACATATTGGCTTGTCATTTTTTTGTGTCGCAATATTGCCCCAAGTCCCAGGTATAAACAATGGAGCTTCAGGATGGCCTGGGCACTTTGTTCTTGGGGCTGCCACTTGGTTCCTCCTGTGGATTATTCCGGTCAACCTTTGACTCATTAATTTGAGCCAACAAAATGAATAAAATCAAGTTCGATAAAGAACGCTAGCTCTTCAATCTAGCGGCTTCAAGGTTGCCATCAAAGCCAAGACTGGACATCCTCATGGATGTCATGAATGAAGGACACGAACACCGTCGAAGTGGGACAGAAGCGGCACGTCAATGAAAGCCTTCATTACCATTTGTCCTCATTAGCCGCCCGTCGTTTCCAGGAGGAGACGCTCGTAATTCACCCGTGATGGATTTAGTGCCCTTCTCTCCTCGCTTGCTCAGAAGGACCTTCGAACCAAACGGCACCGCTTTTTTTTCTCCGCTCCCTTGGCCTAAGTGATTGACTATCGATTCTTTATGAATCTAATCTACTTACCTGGAGCCTGTAGAGGTGACACGGAACTGAGACGATGAAGATGGGCACTCCCGGCAACAGTGAACATTACCAACGCGGTCTGAGGAAGCGGCGCAAATCTTACCGAGCAATGTAGTTCATTGGTCAGTAGCTTAGTCGGCCAGGAGGCGGGGGTTCAGGGGCGAGCAGGTTTGAGACTTGGACCGTGTTAATATGAGATTGCTTTTCAATAATAACTGGTGTCGGCGCTTGCTTCACAGCTACTATTTCCGCCCACATACGTCACAAGAGCTCTTGTACCAAAATCCTCCCGTTTCTGAAGTCGTTGCAGCCGCAAACGTTCTCTTCACATCTTTGACGTCTTGCCGAACCCTCCCAGTGGGAACTTTCCCCTCCGAGGCTTTCATCTGGGCGGCGGCGGTCCGCTATGGACATCAGCTGTGGGAAAGAACTTTGGCAGGGCTGACTTGCACCGAGCCCCAAGCAGACCTCAGCAGATAGCAGGTGCCGGAGCTGCCACCTTCCTATTCCGGGCCAGCATTCCCGCCTGTCAGTCTGCCCACCCCCAGGCCCTTCGCACCCTACCCGAATGGCATGCTCTGTGTCCGAGTACACCATCTGGAGCTCCTCATCCTGCTGTGCTTTGCTCAAGCGCTAAAGTGTCCACAACACTCGGAGCTTTCATCGCTGAGCGCTTGATTGTAGACAGAGCCGCGGTTGGCTCTGATGATTAGTGCCTTGTTGGTGTTCTTGTTGTTAGCGCCTCACACACCAAGATGTGTCGGCACATTCAAGTGAAGAGCAGACTAAAGCAATGATTCCCAATTAGCGTACTGCGGGATATGATCCCATTTGACTTAACTCGTTACAAAATTATTAACACTTGACACCGAAACATTTTGAACGGTATATTTGTGTGACGTTTTTGTTATGACGGTGTGCGGCGAGATTTTTCTCATGTAAAACGGGCTCAATAAAGGACGGGAAGCACTGTACTAATGAATTTCCACGGCGGAACCTAAATCACCAGCATCCTCCCTTATCGGCCTCGTTACTTTGTGTCTGTGCTTCAAAGTTCAGTCCGCAGATTTTGTTTTGTCAGGAGAAAGTTCATCGCAACCTCTAATAAAGAAAGGGTGGGGGAGAGAGGAAGAAAACTTGAATTCTATCAGATTTTTTTTCCCCCCAGCACTCCTCACCTTCACCCCTGCAAGTTTTTTTAATTTTGAGAGTTAATTTTTGTGCAGTATGCTACCATGTAGGGTGCAGACCAACTCATGAAATAAGGATCACGGATGGTGTTCCGAACATCATAACATTTCAAGTCAAGGACTGAGTTTTATAATTCAAGAAATAGGGGATAATTGGTCAGAAAAATGTCTAAATGACTCCCACCTCTGGGAGGTGGAATCAGAGGGATAGCAGTGGAAAGCCAGGACCGGCGTGTGTGTGTGAAATTTAACACCCAACATTGGCTTCTTGTGCCCTGTTGTGTTGAAAGCCATTGTTGCTGTCCCACAAGTACTATACAGGTCACACCAGGCTGTGCGCTGTTGCTTCATTGTGTGAAAGTGCACACAAATCAGGTGCCCGCGTCGGTGGGCTCTGTGTGAAAAGCACCAGCTGAGAAATCCCGGCTCACACGGTTGCATTTTCAGCCCCTATCACAGTGCCTTCTCTCACAAAAAACAGCTCATTTTATTGGATCTAACTTTTTGTTTAATTAAAATATTAAAAAATGTATCATTCGGGCTGCTGTATTTATCCTCCCCGAAATGCTAAAATGTCAAATTTGCATGCAGTGAAAATAGAAGTAACTGTGAGGCAATGCTATAAATCTGCATCTCATTTACATTTTGAGGAAGGGAGGGGGGATTTGTAACAATGTAACAACATCAACACTGAATATAAAATATACACGACTCATCACATGATACTTTTCATTGTCTTTTTAGTATGTAAGCAATGTAACATTCAAATAGTTCACAGCAACGAGTACCCTTTTATTTTATTATTATTATTTTTTTTTAAAGTCTGAGCGCTTTGAATCCAAACACTCTCCCGCTGTCCTTTTTCCACATCTCTTGACGGCCTCCTTCAAGGAATGACGTTGATGTTTGCTACCAAAAAGTAGCAGCAGCAGCAACAACAATAACAAAGAATCCGATATGAAGTTTCGCTTTCCTGAGCCAGCAGTAATGGCTTGTTAGTGATGGGATGCAAATGTCCTGTCATTTTTTTTGTTTAGTTTTGTTTAGTTTTTTGCCATACAATACTACAACAAATACATTCCCAGTGTGAGGTACAACAAACAACATGACAAGAACACGACCAGCATTTACCATGATTAGCACCACAAGCACCATATTGAACTTGTTTTTTTTTTTTTGCGTTTTTGTTCTCATTGGCTGGAGGAACTGAAAACAGCCACAGATATTCAATATATGGGACACATATTCAGTGCCCCATCAAACCGGAAGGGAGGAAGTCCCGAATAAAACAAAACAAACAAAAAAAAAAAATCAAAGCAAAGTTGCGCAACCATTGTGATAAAGTTTAATGATCTCTTTTTAAATGCCAATTTGTCGAGAGTATCGATCACAAGTCTTACACGCAGATTTGCTGGCTTAATCTTAGCAAGCAAGGCACCCTTGTGGTCGGTGGGGGTTGGTGGAGGGATACAGAAAATGGCTGCGTTCAAATCAGCTGGTAGTGAATGACTAAGGTACTGTAATGCCCTCACATGTGGGCACGGAGAGCTATTTGGTATGGATGTCTGCTTATGATAAAATCCTTGACTAACACGTTTTCATTAAATTACTCTTAATTTCTTGGTAATTTCCAATATGCAATATTGCTTTTTTTTCTTTGTTTGGTGGCGTGCCTCGAGATATTTTCGAATGTAAAATATGTGCCTTGGCTTCATAAAGATTGGGGAAACACTGCATGGCATTATGTCAGGCTTTTGTTCGATGACACGTATTCACTTCCAAGATAGCAGGCTACAATGTGACTCTTGGATAATAAATACACAGTTACGCTGATGATCGAGGGCGGGGCTTGCTCTGCGCTGTCGTATATCCTTGGCTGTTCGGTATTTTACACCCAAAAAAAAGTGCAGCCAGGCCAAAGGTCTGCCCGTCGACAGCGTTTCTCGCCTGTCCATCCATCCGTCCTCTGTCAGCCAGGTGTCCAGCACTTTGGATCAAACAGCAACTCGGAGGAAGACGCAACAATGATACCGGGAATTATTATTATAATAAAATAACATCACCAACCGATCCTCCTCCGAGCTCCACTTCACAGAAGTGAACAGTTTTTGTGTCAGCTTGACGGCTGAGCAGTGGTTTGGCTCCGCAAAAGGTCGACTTCTCGTTTTGGGTGCTGCGGAGTCGTCGTCGGGGTTGGCACTCCTTTCCTGGCTCGCGGGCCTCCAATCTTTGCCTTGGGCTCAGTGGCCCTGACACGTTTTGCAGCACATCTGACGGAAGTAGGCCCGACTGCAGAACTTGAACTTGAGTACGAGTGGGCAGTAGGCCACTTTGTTGACATCTTTGCACTCTGCGCAGACAAAACGACAACGAGTCAGAACGTTGCAATTGCGGGACTGTCTGAATACAAATTGGAAGCACTAAGCGATATTTGCGCCCTAGATTCTTGTGCGGTTCAGTCATTTGGGCCGTGTTTCTTGGTTGCATTGCTTCCAGTATGTGGATGTGGATGTTGGATTTATTTATTTTTGTGCACTCCCATTTAAGCCATGCGAATCTGATCTACTCAGCTTTCAGACATATGACAATAACTTCATCCGGTTGTTTTGATGACTTACACTGACGGATAACGCGATACGTCACAACGCCGATATGTGTTCCACTTGTGGTGGTAATATGACTTTATACCGACACCGCGTTTCCCCCCCAAAATATTGGTAACTACTGTAAGCGAGAACCGTTCAATGCATCACAATAGCCAGTTGTACTGATAAGCGGTAATGATGCCGTACTTTGTTCGGATAGTGCCATCTGTCTATTAGTGTGGATGATGTAGCAAGAGAGACAACGCCATATGTCTCAAAGTTGATATTTGTTGTATTGATAATATTGAGATTTGTTCCAGCTGTATCAGTAATGTACCATAAGAGATAGCAAAATGCCACATCTGGTCTTGTTGTATCTCTAACATAGCGTACGACTTCACCCGTGAGCCGATTGAAACAGTCGAGGTCTAAAAATAACTTGAAGAACAGCCTGCCGCAGTGACTCACACGTAATTGTAATACTTATGCGGCGAAAACCTCCCTCGGGGAACACAGCAGCTCGACTTGGATGCCGAGGCGAAGACCGAGAAGGATTCTGGCCCGCTCGGCTCTCCGGGCTCGCTGCCACGACTCGCACGCACACACCAAGCGCACCGCGGCTCCAAATGCCTTATCATGATCCTAGTGTCTTCCCTTATTAGGCTCGGGCCCCCACCTGGGCCGGGCCCAATGAGACCAGACGTTGCCTCACCGCCGTCCGTGAAGCGACAATTAGCCCACGGCTAATCCCATTAACTGGCCTGCTCACGCCGCTCACGTTTTCCATGCGAGCTCCACTGACCGTGTCGTACCACAAAAAATAATTATTAAAAAGTACAAGTGTAATGCTGTAATTAAAGTAAAACAAAATAGAATCAGTTAAACTGTAGATGCATTCATTTATGCTCTGGTTATTATTTAATTCAACTATTATTGGATTGGAAATATGAGATGAACACATGAAAATCTGGTTACATATTATGAAAATAAACTAATTTAAAAATACAAATGTCTGAATTCAAACCAATTTCAGAACAAAAATGCAAAGTGTACTGTTTTTTTAATTTTAGAAACGACACATAATTGTGCATTCCAGGATTATTATTCTTTTTGTGGTACAAATTTGAAAACCTACTTTTCCTTTGTATTTTCTCAACACACATGACCTGGGCATCTTACCGTCGCCATTGGAGATGGGCGTGGCGTCGCACTTGCTCTCACACTGCTGCATAGTGGTGGGCCGGAGGGCGTCAGCGCACTCGCTGGATGGCTGCCCCGTGTAGGATAGGCACTGCACTGTACGCATCTGCTGGCCCAGGCCGCACTGCGCTGAGCACTGCAAGAAGGGGTGGGAGGGTAAAAAAAATAAATAACACACACACACACACACACACACACACACAGAAACGTACCTGCCCCCATTCGCCGGGGATCCAGCGCGGAGGAGGACAGCGGCCGATGCTGCAGCGAATTCGAACCGGCGGCTTGTTGTGGCTCGGACAGTGGGCGGGCGGGAAGGTTTTGCTCAGGTCGCTGCTCTTGCACAAGGCGATGCGATGCTTGAAGCCGGGCCCGCATTTGGGCGTGCACTAAAAACACAAGTGCCGCAAATCGGTCCTCCTCCTTCATTTTTTTTTCGAAAATTTCCATGCGTTATTTCTTCGACGTGTCATTTTTGGAATGTTTTTTCCTTCATTGTTTGTATGCATTGTATTTGGTTGATTTTCCCTTTTTCTACATTCGTTTGTACGGGCTTGTCCGAAATGATTCAAAACTTTTTTCACCATTGTTTTTACTTGTTTATCACCTGTTTTTTTCCATCCTTTTCAATTTTGGATTGTTAATGCCAATTGAAAAGGGAAACCGGATTTGTTAGGACATGAGCTATGGCCGACAGTTTACCTCAGACCAGTCCAAAGTGACCCACTTAGGCGGGCAGGACTGGTTGTTACAGGCCTCTTGCTCAATGGGTCTGTGGGTGAGACAGTGAGTGTCCTCCAGGGTCTCCTCTTCGGCTGGCCCGATCTTCCTGATGCACAGGACCGTCCTGGTCCGGAGGCCGCCGTCGCACGTCTTACCACATTCGGACCAGTCCCCAATGAACCATCTGGTAGGGCGCAGAAATACAAAGATTGAATGCAAGGCCCGCGTTTGTCTGGGAAAAAAAATAGTGTTTTTTTTAAGTCCCTATGGGTAATGACCATTTCTACTCCTTGCATATTTCTTTTCTGTAAAAAATGCTACTTTGCAGACACAACTGTTGCTGCATAATTTGACTGTGTGACTGACATGACATCATTCACGCGCAATTGCCACATTCAAACATCTGCGCTAACCCATAAAAGACCCGGCGAAGAGCATGTAGGCCGAGGAGTGGATCCAGACGAGCAACACGCACGCTCTTAAGCACAGAAAAAAAAAACAAAGGTCTGCTGGCGTCACGCTTCGCACCACTTGGCTGCTGTGTCGCCCCGCACCTGCGCGCACGCTGATGCCAAGAGCATCAAACGCAGGTGGTCGCTCTCCAGGCTGCATATTATTGCCGCCGGGTGAGCGCGGAAAGTTGTAAATCTGCTTGCTTTATTATTTTCCTCCACACACTTTTTTAAGGGCAAAAGCCAACTGATATCACTTTTATGGAACGTTCCAGAGTTTATTTGAGGATAGGGTATTCGATTTTGCTTGCGATTCTGCTTTTTTCTTTTGGGGGGGTTTTCTTAAATATTGCAAATTTTCACTGATGGTTCTGGAAACTATCCCCCACAAATTTGGGGACACATACAAACATCTTCACCAGGATACACGTGAAAACTGGTGAGTTTTCCGGGACCGATTTGACGTACTCAGGAGGGCAGGGCTCGCTATTGCAGTCCCGCTGCTTGTCGGGGGGCTTGCCGTCTGGGTCGCAGTAGCTGTTCTGGACCACAGAGTTGTCGTCCAGTCGCTTGCACACCACCTCCTGCTTCTGGGAGCCTGACGATGACGAGGGTGGGGAAGACAGGTGGATAGCTTTGAGGATAAGTGTTATAGAAAGGGAATAAGTGGAAATACCGCAGAGAATACAAAATGGTACCATAGTGACTATGGGTCTTATTTTCATGCTCCGCCTAAGTCTAGTGCAAAACACGGTCTAACCATGTGGATGGGTGGATTTTAATTTTTTTTCCCATTTTGTATATTTGCAAACATGCGCAGCTAGGAACGGCAGAAACGGTCTGCCTCCACCATGATCAAACTCACTAAAATTGCATTACACCACATGCGCCGCAAATTAGACATTGCAGGCTTTGGAATCCTGTTTGTTACATGTTTGGGAGATGTAGGGAGCCGGAGTTGCTGTCCCTGGAGATAGTGCTTGTCGTCCATTGGCAGCGATGGTGGGAATCGGTAGCAAATCAAATACCAGAGAGACCGGCGTCGCAATGCAGAGATGGATGTATTTATGGCACTCATTCCCCGTGCTCAATAAACACTTTTTTTTTTTTTTTTTTTTTTTAGTTGAGTTAACTGATACCTTTTACCCAAGTCCTTCTGTACAAAACTATCTGTACTTCTAGTTAATTTGAAAGTGTCCATATTTTTGCCTCTTCTGCTCTGGAATCCATCGAGAATCTCCGATTCCGCGGTATTTTAAAAGGTTTGCGTTAGTCATTCCTGAGGCAGCGGCTGACGTTGCCCCGCAGCCGCAGACTGGAGCGTTTGACGTTGGCCTGCATGAGTGAACGAGCCGAGCTTGTCAGGTTTGGTTAGCGTTGTTATCTTTGAAATGGCAGAGCAGGTGGGCCCAGTGTTACGGCTGCTGAGTGCAGGTACAAGGGGGGTCCTTGGTTTTCCAGGTTCTCGACATACATTTGTCGTTTACACGCTGCGGATGGTGCACGATGGACCCATTTTTTTTGGGTTGCGCACTTATACGTGGTCAGGTTCCATGACACAAATTTGCCACCGTGAACTGAGGACTCAACTATATTCAAATATTTAAACGTAGCAGACAATCAAATGATAGAAATCAAGATTGCAGATGCCCACTTGCCTCCGGCACATGTCGCTGAACACTCGGACCAGGGCAGGTGGTACCAGGAGAAGCCCACCTCGTTGTCGCCACTTCCCGTGCGCTGAATAGGCACGTTGAACCTGTAGCGGATGCCCTGGTTTTGCTCCTGGAGGAGGATCTGTGACGGACGCGGAGAGAAAATTTGGTTTCCGCCAAGCCACAAAGTCACTGAACTGATTGGCCTATGTGTTACCATGACAATCAGGTTCTCTGTAGTTGCCCCGAGGGCCTCTAAAGACTCTGGTTCATCGGTGGGCCTCTTGTAGTGGAAGGCGGTGCCGGCGATGTCGAACTTTCTTGGCCAGTCGATGGTCCACGCGCCGTTGATGTAATAGTCGTCTCCCTCGGATTTCAAAGCTGGAAGGAAAGGGCGAATAGGCCGGTCCTCAGAATGATGATCAAACTTTGAGAACAGGCTACGACCACAGTAGATGGCTTACGAAAAGAACTGTCTAGCATGTCCAGACTTTTTACTTCACCTTGTGTGCATGAAGTATGCTACCAACAATTAAACAGATTTACGAAGAAAAACAAAGCAGTCTAACTCCTAGCCGTGCATCCCTGAACGTGGCCTAAAATGACTGCACAGTTGGGCATGCCGTCACTACTGACGGAAAGCTCATCAGTCCGTCAACGACGAATGAATCCTGTTTTGATACGATATTGAAAGAGAGAGAGAGAGAGATCAGCATTATATTGTGTCGTGAGTTTTCTTAGATTTATCCACTACTGCTGCTATTGAATGTTTGAGTCAAAAAGACGACATTCCTGACCAGATATGACAAAAATGGCATTTCAAATTTGGACAAAATACTTTGTACGTTCCATTCCGTCAATAGCGAAAATCCAAGGCCAAGCCTTAAAATGGCCATTTCAAACCACAATGTGAGACTTCCTGTTCAATTCCTGGCATGGGTCTTTCGATTTTTGCCTGGTTTTACTCATGAAAGACTCGTCAAGCAAATTTCATGTTGCTAACTCACTTCAGGGGCAGAATTTCATGTGGGTGCGCGCGCGTTAAACCCAAGACATGTCACCGAGCCAATCATCGGTGCTCTCTGACCTATGTAAGATTTGAGTATGGGAAAGCCCTTTAAAAGTCCTTTTATTTGCTGCGAGATAATCACGACGACCAAACCAAGCAATTTTGGAGAGGCCCGAGAACGAGAAGCAGATGTGCACGGTAGCTGAGGAGTCTACAGGTGGAGACAATCAGCGGGTGTGATGTCATCCACCTCGTTCGTCTTCAAGCCGTCCGACAAGCCTCTGTCCTCACAGACAGACGCAGACACACAATACGTATGGGAAAAGACTTCAGGTGAAAGGCGCCGCTAATCTGCTCAACGGCATCCCGCTTTGCGGTTGTCAAAACAAACTGCGCTCTCCGAACGCACGTGAAAGCATCCCGGCGTCACGTGTTTACGACTCGGACAGAAGCGCACATCTGGCACTGATTGTGAGTGCTGTTGTGTGTACAATTGGTTAAAATGTTTTCAAGCTCGTCACAGATTAGTCATAAATTGTTCCAAGGGAGAAAAATGAGCCAGGATGCGTTGCGAGTGCTGCGTAAGATCAACTTTGGTCAAGTTTCTTCTGCCAAAATGTGCTATTAAGCTACATTTCCAGGGGAAACTCCAGGGAAATTACAGGTCTTGGCATTGGTAATATACATGTATCTCATCGGAACCTTTCCTTTCCAGGAAGTGCGGGTAAATTACCCCAGAACGGCTCCTGTAGTCTAAAAGGCATCATGGTGCTCCCAAAGGTGCTCATTCGGGGTTACGTTCCCGCTGAAATGTGAAACGTGCATCAGAGGAAATTCTCGGGAAAATTCAGATCTTGGTACTGGTAACATATAATATATATAATAATCGGAATGTTTGAGTTCCAGGAACTAAATGGACGCGGTTCTTTTGGGAGACTACAGTATGTTTGAACTGTAGGAATTATGATCTAGTTTTGGTTTTGGGATAGGCGTGTAGCGTAATGCAATACAATGAACATATGTGGACTGTATATAATGTCTTTTTATGACTTGGCAGCCGGCAGCTGCGTCTTGCTCACTTCAAACTAGAATATGGGCGTGTGCCGTGGAGTTCTTTGCCGCATCGCTTAAATGCCCAATCAGAACACAGTGACGTCATGGCCTGTGTCTTCGAACCGGAACGGCTCCATTGTAACTGCACGGCCCCGAAAAAGTATAATGGAAAAGCAACCACTCAGAATAGAACCAGACTGTTTCAGTGGAGTGCCAGTACAATGGAAAAAGGGCTTTTGTAAAATAAATTACCTTGCTACTTGTAATTAAAGGAAGGAATGTGCTGGGGCCACATGATTGGAGTGTGATCATTTTGTTCAACTGTTACGCTCCATATTGTACAATCAGAGGATTCCAGATGCAATGCAACCGTCTACAATGGATAACAACTTACCGATGTAGTTCTTGGATATGGTAACCTCTCGGATCTCGATGTGAACGGAACCTTTGGGGATATGGACCACCTCCATGTAGCCTGCAAGAGAAGTGCAGTGTGACTTTTTTTAATGAGTGGATGTATAGAATGGAGTCAAAATGAAAGGCCAAATGGTCCAAAAAAGGATAAAAAGCGGGAGGACGCGTCACAGGTATTTTTAGATGCGCACACTCAGCCCACCATAGAAGGACAAAGATGTTTGTCACTTCCAGACTACGTCACATAATGACGACTTTCTTGCGGGGCCAACTCATAACAGAAAATGTCTACCAGATTCCATGTCGCTAACTTTAACTGCCTTTGTGGGCTGAGTTATTTTTTTTTTCCACCATTTTTTAATTACAATGTATGTATGTGTTTTTATTTTTTATTTCACCTCCTCGGGGCAGAGAGTTGTTGAAGAGTCCCTCGGTGGCCTCGCAGGCGCTTCCGTCGCCGCCGCACACTCGGCATCGATCCTCCTTGGCGTCCGACGCCAACACGTTGTCGCAGCCCACGTGCTGCAATGCAGAAAAACATTTATTCTACACATATCATATCGTGCACTCATACGTAGTCGTACACAGAGGCGCGGTTGCAGAAGCACGGAGTCATCCTCTCACTGCGGCTTTTCATGAAGGCGACCACCTTGCACAATCGAAATAAACCCACTGCAGCCTTGTACCATGAAGCGATGAAGTAGCTTGCTCACCTTACACTCGCCGTTGATGCATATGTCCAGGGAGTCGGCCTGACATCGCGTGCCATCGATGACAGCCGGAGAGCGCTCGGTGTAGAAGTTGTATCCCTCCGCTAGGCAGTTGAGGGCGCACGGCTTGACGCCCCCTGTGACACAAGGCAACCTTAGAACCTTATAACTAACTTTCTGATGGGACTAAAATCTTCGATTGAGATGAGAATCTTCTCCTGGGACCAGAGGTGTCAAATCCAGGTCTCGAAAGTAAAAACCCTGCCACAGTTTGGCTTTTGCCACAGTTTGGCTTGAGCCACAGGTGCTTTTACTCAACCGGCAGCTAAACGGGCTCCGGATTTGACACCCCTGCCCGAGACTTGAACCTTCTTTCTGCACTAAAATCTTCTATTAGGACCAGAATCTTATATCAGGACTCTAGAGCCTTCTCTAGGGACAAATACCTCTCGACTAGCACATCTCTCACTTGAGTTATGGCTGCCAATGATATTTTCCATGATTTTATCAAACCCACCGCCGGTGTAAGGCTTCCAGTTGTAGTACTTCCCTCGGAAAGGCATGGCGTCAAAGTCGCCGCACTGCTTCTCCCGGAAATCACGGGATCCCGAAAGACAGGCCTACCACACATACAAAGACAAAAGACATTTTTGTTGTTGACAGATTTTAATCTGCAGCATTCATTCTTTCCACTTTAGATTGACAACCGAAAAATGAAACCGCAGCTCATTATCGTAACACAAGTTCCAAATACACATTCATGTGCATGAAATAAAAAAGATACAGGTACGGAACAAATGATGTACAGATTATTCTTTGACAACTGACCACACATGACCCGACTTAACCTGTTTTGTAATCCGACGCCACTTTACCTGACGCAACCCTGCCCAGGAACACATCTAACTGGATTTGACGTGATGCTGACCCAACTTGACTTGACATTTACAATGCAGCCCCTTTCCCCCTGACTGAACTCAGTAAGTGACAAATAAACAGCTTAGAGCAAGCACGCTGTGCATCTTTTTGGAAAACTATGTGACTGAGAATCTTTTTATTCATTTCCTCAAAGTGACGTGGCGCTAATGTATCCCATTTCTTGACAGTGAGGAGGTGAGAACAGGCACTAATTTCTAGTTTTAAAAGTAGGCTTTCATAAATTTCATTGTCAAAGATTTTTTATACGGTTTCTCCATGTTTTGATCTATCGTGGGTGGGTCTCGACCTTATCCCCCGCTATAAATGGCGGGTCAGTGTAGTGTATTTTTTTTTTTGCAAAGGGACAAGAGTGACTCCAGCTACAAATTCCTCGTGTAGTATTTGGCATACTTGGCCAATAAAGATGATTCAGATTCTTGCATTGACAAGAAAAAAAATCGGAGGTGGGGTGTCGACGCGTGGCCACGTTAAATATTTATCTGAAGTGTTGCTCCAAACCCCTCGGCCTGTTGCTTTTCACGCAGTAAAGTGCGAAGCTGCCGTCCGCTTGCGCTCCAAGGAAGTGTCATGAGCAATGTGTTTGTCGGGAATGATCCCACGCGGGAATACTGAATCATTGCCTTTTTTTTTAAAAATCTCTGTCTCACTGGACTTCCACCGAGACGGGAAGTCAGGAAGCTGTGCACTGACCTTCGAAAGACCTTGCCCAGAAAGTGTAGCAAAGCCCCTTGCAGGCTTCGGGTTGCACAAGAAGGAGGAGAAGAAGAAGAAGAAGAAGAAGACGAGAAACTCACGGCAGTGTTACAGGACCTGTAGCGTCTCCTCTCCCCTAGGCAGTACTTTCCTCCTCCGGAAGGCCTGAGTGGGGACACAGGACACTTGAATGAGAGATGACATCATTTGTCGTCATAGCAACAACCTCAGCAAACACATGGCCCAGACAAGAGTTGCATCTGTGCCGATCACAGCAAACCCTCTAGAGCAACCCTGCAGCTTCCCGGGGCCTCCACAGTTCCACCAAAGACAAAAGTCAGAAAAGAAGGACAGACACAATAACTTGGGAATTTTTTTCAGCTTCCAAGTTAGGGCCCTGCTGCACACCGAGCGATGCGTCCAAACGTGGCTGATCTGCACCATTGTCAAAGAAAAACGACAGTAGAGGACTTAGACCGCAAACGGTTGAGTAGCACACATCTACTGACACGCTGTAATGGACAAACTGCAACCCTGTATCACATTTAGAGGCTCACATCTGATATGTTTGACTGTGCTGTTATTTATTCAACCACAAAACCATTGCGCGATTGTCAGGGAAAAAAATGGGTGGGCACAAACGAAACGGGCGATAAGAAATAGAGCGTGAAATGACGGCAGTGATCGATCTCTCCATTCGCTGACTACAGCGACTGTGACTCTCCACATTTTGCTTTGTAGCCACAGTGGCGGTTGGTATGGCACCGCCGTACCAAGCGTGGTCACCGCATCATGTTTCTTGAAGACAAAGATTAAATATTTCAATCAAAAAAGTGTTTAGGAATCGGCGGCACAGCGGTCGACTGGTGAGCAAAGGTTCGATTCCCGGTCAGCTTGCTAACATGGGCTGCTAGCTTCGCCTCGTGTTGACTTGGCGTGATGCTAATTAAATACAGAGAGTGAAAATGAGTAAGCTGGGTCTCACTCAGGCTTGGTACGCAAAAATTATTTTGTTGCGAAAGCTTCCGTGCATTTTTGATTGGTCATTACATCTGCAATGTTGTCAAGCTGTCGGCCAGTCATTACTTCCTGCCACAGCTGAGAATCCCGCGTATGAGGTAGTGATACGATCGTCTCCGGTTTTGTTTGGCGGGTCCTGCTCCACGCACACGTGCTGACGAGCACACGCATGTGTCGGCGGGCCCTCGGGTGCGTGTGTGTTTGGCTTGCTGTGGCTTACTTTGCCTACTTACGCTGGGCTGTCACAGTGCCTCATGGACGAGGAGACGCCGCCACCGCACGTCCTGCTGCACTCCCCCCACATGGACCAGGGACCCCAGCCTCCGTCCTCGCTCTGCGGCCAGGTCCCGAACAACACACACTCGCCTTGGTAGCACCACTACGAGGAGCCGGGAGAGTACGATAAGCTAGCGGCAACTTATTACGAGCTGGGACAGCACAAGTGTCAGTTTTACTGTTTTCCGAGCGTCCCGTCCAGGCTGTAAATTTGCTGCGGCATGAAATGTAGACTACACAGCGCTTGACTGATGACTTTTTTTTTCCCCCAAGCAACACGTGCGCGATCCTTCTTCAAGCCCTTTTAAACACACACTAGCTCCCAATCGCGGCATTACGCTGCCCATAATTTCATTTACGCATTAGTCCACTTCTGCAGCCATCCTTATAGGGCTTTTATGTCTGACTCAGCTCGCTTGTGTTTTTTTTTTTTTTTTTTAACCAATGTGTGTTTGTCACAAGGGCAATTATTTCTCTCTTTGCTTGTCTTTCTGGAATTTGCTGAGTAAGCCAAAAGTTACCCAGGGACCTAGGTGCCTTGAGTTAAGAGTGACACGACTTGCACGTTCTTTGGGATATGAGCTGTCGTCGGAATGATTTGTGAGCCAAAGTTGGCGGTATGAGCGCTGTACCATAGCGGTGAACTCAACTCACTTCACAGCACTTTGGCAGACGGTGAACAATTCTTCAAAAAAAAGAGGCTTCATGCTGTTTAATGCCTCTCCCAGGTGAAGTTTACTGTCAAGCTAAACATAAAACCTGGAGAATTTCATTTGAGATATTTAAAACAAGCGCATAGCTTTGCCTCATGGCAATCTCTTTAGCTTCGTGCTAAGAAACATTGCAAAACAACACAGATGGGATCACAAATAGCATTGCTGTGTAATCCTTCAGCAACGGAGATTTGAACACGAACAAATTGACGGACAATATAACAACAGTCACTGGCATATGTGCTTTATCCCCCTGTGAAGACTTACTGAGCAATTGCGACTGTCAACTTCATGTACTGTATGGATGTGTTGAGAGAATTTTGCCGAGGCACGCACACAGCAGAAGAATGTCCGTTGAATTGTCGCATGACATGTGGTTAAAAGGTTGAAAATCATACATTCAATTTCATTGTATTTCATTATTATTACATTTTTAATGGAGCAAAATATTACAAAATGCTATTTTTCGCATCAAACAACACATTACAAAGGTGTTATTTTCGGGGGATGTTTCATTTTCAATTTCAGTGTTCAAAAATGTCATTCTCGCCAATGAAGTGACATTTCCAGCGGCACACTATTAGAGCTCTTGCGGCACACTAAGTGGTTGGGAATCACTGGTGTAACCTAGATGACTTATCCCGGTCGTCATATCTTTTGTTTCCATCTGACCTGAAACCTTCTTCGTCCTACTTGCCAGCATTTTGGGTGTGGCGTGTACAGAAGCCCACTTAGTCAGCCGTTTTATCTAATGGGGAAGAGCTCTTTTGTTTCTTTGTGTCTTCTGGGATGTTGGTTGCAAGGGGCGGCCTGGCGCCTCGGGAGGGTGCAAAGCTGCATGCTAAGCCTGTTGGGAGATCTGAACGGATCAGAGGCAGGTCTTTTGTTTCACCAACTGTGTCAGTGGGTTAAGAGCCCCGAGCGTGCGCTTCAAGGTGAGCAGAGGTAGCAAAAGTACTTGCTTTCCATACTTAAGCAGAAGTACTCATATTTAAAAAAAAAAAAAGACTGGTGTAGAAGTACTAGTTCTTATACATGTTTGAAGATAATTGCTGAAAACATGGGCACAGACTGAGAACTAAGTAGTACTCAGTTAAACCACATATGAATTTGACTGCCACCTTCTATGCTCACACCCCGCATGGGCCGCTTTGGAGAGCCTCGTTGTCACCAATAACATGTATGCCACGGTGAGAAAGCTGAACAGGCGAGTTGGGGCGTACTCCAGTACTACTAAAGGTGCGTTCGAGCTACGTCGGGCCACTGTCCCCTTTCTTTCCCTGGCTTTGTGCCGCACGTCCGCAGAGGCTCTGGAAAACGAGATTATGCTGCAGGCGCGAGGTTTGCATGACACAACCACCTCCAGCAAGGTGAGAGCATACAAGCGGCTCAGTTCAGTGGGTCACTTTTTGTCCCTCTCCCCTCAGCTCATAGCCGCCCCCGCCCTCGCCATCCTTCCCCCCTTCCCCTCTGCCCTCTCCTGTTGGCCGGGCCTCTCTTCATTACACGGCGGGTGAGAAACGGCTGACAGTCATGTTCCTTTGAAACTATCGCGGCCGGGGGCAGACAGGCAACGGTGGGGTAGCGCTCCTAAAAAGTGCTCCAAAAGCGCTTCCAAAAGCCCCCCCGGCTCAACCTGGGGCCCCCTGTGTTGTCCAGGACCCTGTCCGCGGGCCCCAACCCTCAAAGGCTCCACTGAGCTAATGCTAATGGCCACTGACAACTCGTGACACTCTCCCATTCTTCCCTTTTACCCTGCCAACCATCCGTCCACAATAACTGCCGTAATCCGCGTTAAAACTGTCTCTCCCTAACCTGGCTGCCATGGACAGCGCACCAGTGACGTAAAGCTTGCCTCTCTAGTGTGCAGAGGTTGCAAAACTACTCACACTCTCTACTTAAGTAGAAGTACAAACCCCCTGCCCCCGGAAAAAAAAACTAACAAAAAAAACCCCAACTTATCCAATAAACAAATGTTTTTTTGTTTTTTTTTTAAACCTGAGCATGTGAGCTTGTGAGGAAAAAGCGGATCAGGAAATGAGTGAATGATGAACTACACATATTGTGGTTTACAACAATACCCAACCATATTTAGTATTTGTACCTGTGGATGTAATAGCGAATGGTAATAATATATGTGAGCGGCGTACGTAGCGCGCTGCTTACATTCAAATGAATTGGATCGTAGTAACCTTTCCTTGACTGACACTCCATCTTTTTATGGATTACAAAAGTGATACGTTTCAACATTATTGTATGAGGAGCCTCAGAAGGCAAAACAGCCTTGCCTCAGAAGGCAATGAGCGCTTATGCTAAATCGCCCAATGTACTTTTTTGCGATGGTCGGGTGCTATTCGGATTCAGAAGCATCGCACAATGTGTGGGGGGCCCCAACAGGGCTGAAGGGCTGAAGAAGAAGCTTACTCACCCCTTTCTCGATGCTCCCCGTCTGGCACAACGTTCCCTCGGCGGCAGGAATACTGTTCGTAACACAGCGGTTGCTTTTGCTAAGGCACCAGAGCTCTCTACACACTTCCTAGGAAAGAAGGCAAAAACAGTTGGTCAGAACACATGAACAAACATTCTGACAGAGAAATCCCACGCAGGCACGGGGAGAGCATGCACATCCCACACAGAAAGGCCAGAGCCGGAACCGAACCCTGCATCTCGGCATTGTGAGGCCGACGTGCTAACCAGTTGATCACCGTGCCGCCCGATACATAACATATATTGAGGAAAAAAAATCGTGAAATGAATGACCCGGGAACAATTTATGCTACGAACAGTCTTCTGGAGGGTAAGTCACTCGTGACATGGGGAGTTTCTATAATTCATTAGTCTGCAAAGAGGTAATTTGTGTTTGAATCTGAATGAATGTCAGTGCAAAAGGTCCTGGTTTTTTTCAATGTCTTGAGTCAGTCGTGACTAACGCTTGCTCACCTCGCCACCAACCCCGATTGCGAAGTCAAGGAAGCGCCGTTCCCGGCTGAGAGACAGGGCTCCCGGGTCGACAAGATGACCTGCTGGCCTCTCAAATATCTTGAGTCTCACTGACTGTCTGGACAAACACCCCCGTGTTTATTCTCCACACCTTTGCCATCTCGAACAAGAGGTCGATACCCAAAACTTCTCTTCAGCTGCCACCAGTTGTCTCCCAGTCTTCCTTCGGACTTTTCCAGCCACGCGCCCCCTTCAACATCCTGACACAGTTGGAGTTGTGACTATATCTCTACATGTAATTTCTTACATTTTTCTTCTCCGTCAAGAACCCCGCTAGGGTTGATACCCAAAATTCACTTTGGCTGTTGAGATATTGAAGGCGATATTAATAAAGCATTTGGGCAAGCCCCGTTGCGAACATATGGATGTGCATGTTATTTTCGATTCTGGACAAAACTCCAGATTCCTGCCCGGTCTAGAACGGTGCGGAAGCGAATTTTGCGTATGACCCCCAGGTCGCATCATAGCTTGGGAATCTCTGTTATAAACTTGAAGTTTCTTGAATGAAAACACAGCTTATTTTGTTGTTCCCAAACCCTTTTCCTGACAGAATTGGGGCATCCCTTTTGTGTGCACGTGATCGAGCACAAAGTTTGGCTATTCCAGTTGCCATGAAAGCCCCACCAGGTCTCCCTCCATGTTCCAACTTCAAAGGCTTTTACAGGACAATCATGCTCAGTAGAAGAGCTGGCCCATGAAGAAGAGTTGTGATCTGGTGCGCAGACTCTGACCCGCCGGGTCAGTAAATATGCTAGCGGCCCCCCTGCCTCCCCCCAGATTAAACAAAGCGGTAAACTACCCCTCTCTGGTTGCAGCCACTTCCCACTGCCAGCTGCTTTCAATAAGCAACTACGCCACTTGCGTCCGCTCTTGCGGCCGAGGATGAAAGGTCAACAACCCGGGCCCTCGCCAACGCGGATATGGGCCTGATGGATTTACGCCAGGGGAGAACAAGCTGGTGATTAAAAAAAAAAAAAAGACGAGGGTGGGAGGCTGTATTGAAGAGCCACGAAGCCATGGCCCAACCACAGATGACAACTTCATCTAGACTTTGAGTGAAACATCGGAACTCGCTTGAAGGCCATGTGGACATGTTGCCTAATGTCGGCGATCGCCAACTGCAACAACAACGGCTGGTCGAGTCTTCCATGGAAAACCCTTTCAGGATTTATTTATGCTCAAACTGATATCCACATTGCAGAATCCTCGTCCCACTTTCCGGAGAAGACTGCATTTAATTCTAATGGTTTACATGATTGACTATTACCACATCATTCTTTCATCTTGTTCTTTAGCTTTTCACTGCCTGAATGAAGGCCATCACCGCCGCCACCATCATCATCGTCATCACAGCCCAACGGGAGCGTTGACTTCAATCTGTCGTCTCTTTGGAGGTGCTGACGGAAACCTCACAACCGGCTCCACTTGTCAGACCAGAATTAAACAGCCAACCCCCCCCCCCCCCAAAAAAAATACCCTACCCTCTTCTCTCAAACAGGAAATATAAACCCGAAGAGCCTATTAGATCATTTCCCACAAGGACAGGCCGCCTGCGTGAGTCTAAATATGTGCACGGGGGTGGGGGGGGTGTCAAATGCGATAACCGCTAAGTGCTTTTCAAAAACTCTCCATGACTTTTCAAGGACCCGTTTGAAAAAAACTTTTAAGACCATGCCCGAACGTTCCAGATGCGACGACGTCTCGATTGGCTGGTCATCCATCGACAGAGTGGAACACTCAGGCAGACTGATTGGCTCACGTCCAAAGGCGTTGTTCGTGAATCCACTGCACATATTTATATAATAGACTCCTGTTCCGCACTTTTGAACATTGGAAAAAAAATATCTATATTCTTTCTTACCCCATACTTGCACTGGCGCGAGGAGGCACCGTACTGGAAGCGGCACTGTTCGTCGGCGTCGTACACCTGCCCCGGAGCCACTGTTGGGTACAGGAAGTCTTGTTTCAGAGGTTCATTGTCCAGACACGTCCCCCGACCTGAGCTGTCAAAAACACAAAGCTACAATAGGATTGTTTCTTGCACAAATGGACTTGGACCGCGTCAGTAGCCACCAGACCAAAAAGGGCTGCTTTTGCATCTTGAAATACCGAGGTACGGATGCAGCCGATTCCCACGCAATACGAGACGCCTTCAGTCAGACACGCGGTTGCCGTCGTGCCCCAAATTATTTCCGTATCGTACTTGTGTTGGCTCTTCCTTTGAACACCATTCCAATTCCATCACTTCAAACTTCATTTTACACTTGCCGTGGTGAAAACCCTCAGCGCTACCTAAAGCGCGGAACGTAGGGCTGGCCTCCACCACTTTTACCACTGTTGCCAAAGGCGCGACGTGCCGGACACCCAATGTCTGGTACGTCTGCCTGATGTTCCAGTGCTCTGATGCAGAAGACTGATTCGAGCGATCGCCTCAGTCATTGCAGCTCGAACTTTTACGGCCAAGCACCCCCTTGCGTGATCGACATAAACTGAAGAACGAGAAGAGCCCCGAGGCAACGCTTCCTCGTTCGGCTTCAACGACTTAACCGCTCCTGCATGTGACGAGAGAGACAGTCAGTTGCAGGAAAGGATGAGGCTGGGCAATACAGACCGCTGGTCTGTATGCTGTTTGCTCAAAGAGAATCGAGCGCTCACAAAGAGAAGGCGCCGGAAAATTAAAAGACTTGTTGGATTTAACGCGCGTGTTTACTGCGGAGCAACTCGCTGAGCTTCTTCAACGAGGAGCTAACATTAGACAATTACCCAATTACGATATAACGGACCTGGTGTATTTCATTTGGAAAAGCCTGTTTACTATAACAGCGTGTACTTTCCAGCTGTGGCAGCTGTGGTGGAAGGCTCCCATCCCACCACAGGAAAAATGGGCGCGCTGACAACACAAATGCAGACGACAAGATGACTGAAGATAATTCGGGCCTCTTCCAAAAATGTCTTCTTCTTAAATAGTCCTACAACATGAAGACGGCTACGTTTCCTGACAGGGAATTTTCCACCTTATTTTCACAGGTTGCTGTTCGGCGTGAAAGGCAATGAACCCGAAATGGGGCTTTAGTCTTGCCACTATTTGCCTTCTTTTTCCAACCTTGTTGAATTCACCCGGTTTTCGGGGTCCTGTCCTGTCCCTTCAGGGACACTGTCACTATGTCTTTAGTTATTCTAACCGTCAAGTTTTTCACCGCCTGCCCTCTCCCCTTAAAGCATTGCATCAGCATTTAGCACTGGTCGTTAATTTATTGGTGAGATACAAAATGTCTTCTCCCTTTCTGGTCTAGTTCTACAACCTTGGTATATTCGGCTGGTTTTGGGGGTTCTGTCCTGTCCTCTGTAACGGGATCGTCAGCGTGTGGCTGTTAATTAATTGGCAAAGAACAGAAAGTTTCGCGACTAGGTCCCATACTGTTCCGTTCCGTATCTGGATAATGTCAGTAGAGCTACACTGCACCTTCCAAACCTGTCCATTTTAAAAGTCAAATGTGGGCCTTGAGCACAAAAAGGTGCCAAGAGTACTTGTGGCTCCGTGGGCCCGATTCCTCTCGGGCGTTTCAACCATCCCAAGCGCTGCTTTCAGGTTGGCCGCAGTCGCGTAAACTCGACCTGAACTCTTCCACAGAGTGTGTTCATAAAGCATTTCTTAAAAAGCCAAACAAAGCCTTGCAAGAAAGTGAATGTAGGCCAACGTGATGGCCAAAGTTGTTTACTTGGCAGGGAGAGAAGCGTGTGTGTGATATCCAAAAGCTCTGTCTGGGGGAGGCTGGCTACGGCAGGGTAATTGGAGTTTACAGACAAAACCCTTTTGTTGGAAACACTAAGGCATAAAAAACGAAATTAAAGTTTAAAAAAAAAAAAATGTCAAATGGGGTGTAACATAAGAGAAGACGTGCAGGGGTTCGGTTACCGGATTCCTTTGAGCACACTAAATGGCTCTTTGTTTGTCATCTCCATCCCGGTTGCTGCTCGGTTCACAGCTTTCAGCCGGAAACATTTTGTGACAATCGCGCATGCTATTATCTGCTTTGCTCGAGGGCCTTGCGAGTTCAACGGCAGTACCTTTCCATTTTTGCGCAAAAGGTACTGACCTGGCATGGGCGCTTGACAAATTTCTGGCTTCCAAAGTAGTACACGAGCCAGAACAAAGGGCATACGGCAGTTGTGTGAAAAAGGGAACAGTGGAAAGCCAAGACCGGTTTGTTAAGATGAACACCAGGCAATGACTTCTCATGCGCCGTCATGTTGAAAGCAATTGCCGCTGGAAGGAAGCAGCGGAATGCCCTGACTGCTGTAGCTATATTTTAAAACTACAGAGAGAGGATACAGGTGAGAAATAAAGGCCATGGTGTTGGTATATCAGAGACTCTTGGCAAAGGTCATCTTTGCCAACAGAGACTCTCCACACTTTGCTTTTTTAGCCACAGGTACAGATGAAATCATACATCATGTTGATTGCTGTAAAACACACTACAATGCATATGCTGTATCGGTACGACTTGGCGTTCGCCTCATACCGCAAAACGGTGTTGTCAAAGCTCATGGCATATTCGATTGGCCGTTACATCTGCGACGTTGTGATGCCGTTCACCTAATGTACGGATTGTGTCATGGACAATAGAGAGAGGGAGTTAGGCGTAACCTTCAACAGGGATTATTCAGGAGCAATTCCAGTTCCTCTGATGAAGAACAATCATGAAAGGTGGACTTTTGGCAATTGCCCCTTTGGATAAGCCAATTTATTTGCGTGAAACTCCTTCTGAATGATTGAGGCCATTCACACAACAATCTTTACAGAGTTCACAAGAGCGTCAAGGCCGAGACGGGACATTGTCTGGAAACCCGCCTGGTTGTTCAAACGTACACATGAAAGCCTTTTCTATTGCCGCAGACAGTGGCGCGGGGTCCGCTTCGTAAATCACGTGGCCGCTCCGGCGCTGCGCACGAATGCGGCGGGGCAATGGGTGCAGAGGGAGCGAGCGAGGGGGTGGGTGGGTGGGGCGGCTTTCAGAAGGCCGCTGTCTGCTACTTTGGTGCGACTCTGACCTCCCGTTGAAACGGGAGGTCAGAGAATCTCCCCCCTGCAAAGGTCTGTTCTTACATCCACTCCGTCTGAAAGGCGTTTTCTCCATTGCTGCTAAATGTTTTCGCCGGAGTGGTCTGGCGGCTTCTGCCAAGCAGACGCTCGCCTTGTCGGACATTTGCGCGGCGGCAAAAAGAGGCGGCGCGGCAAGAATTCTGCCGGACTTGGAAGTCGACCGTGCCAAGGCCTGAATCACGCACCGAGGGCATATAAAGAGGCTTAAGGGTGGTCCTGCGCAACACGGAAAACGTTTAGCATTTATGTCCCTAATTATCTGTACTTTACCGAATGCCTCCATTTATTCAGCGGTCTGCAACCTGCGGCTCCAGAGCCACAAATGGCGCTTTCATCCTTCCGCTGTGTCTCTCTACGTGCGACATGGACGTCATTCAAAGCAAACGTGGCTCACGCCGCACAGATGACGTGTGTGAAAATGAAGGTGATGTCTCCAGCTTTGACGTGTGGAGGTTGTGCACTGATCCTCACGAGCAAAAAGTCACATGGTCAAATGAATATTGAAACTGGCTCTTATTTTCCAAATATGTATTTGACATCGCGATGCGGAGTAGTCCTTTTGAATTCATGTTGACAGCTGACTGCACGCTCCACATGCGAATAAATGATGACGGAACACAGAAGCAGACAGCAGTTTTTGTTGGCTGCACATGGATCATTTAAGTTTGGCTTTCATTCCAAGAATATGGGGGAGGACTCAACTAGATATGGACTATTTTAGTTGAAAGTCAGCTTCAACCGAGTGTCTTTTTTTCAAAGGGCACATATTTTTGTTGCGCGCGAAAATAAAATGCCGTCTTCTCTGTAGCACTTCCAAAGTTGTTATCCTCACTTTGGATGTCAAAAAGATTTTGTGACAAAACAACATCGCAGCGGTGACATTTCGTTTTAAGCAATATTCCATCATCACGTGTTTTATGACTATTCGTTGACGTATTAGTTCATCTTTTTTGGGGTGTCTTTGAATGAGACGGCAACGAGCGCCTGACTCCAGTGTCCGCCTGACTTCTGATCGGGAACTGGCCGTGACGTGCGAGGAGCAACCGGGCCAGGAGCTCCCCGTCAGGCTGGCGGGTATCTGCTTTCTGCCAGACGCTGAAGGCCGACTCCAGATGTTTTGTCTGGCTTCGTCTGACTTGAGTCCCGTGCACGTTTTTCACCGTGCCAGGCTGGCAGCCAGCGGGGCCTCATTCCGACACAAAAAAAAAAAAAAAATTGTGAGCGTGCAGTCGTGTGTGAGTGTGTGTGTGTGCGTATGCGCGCATGGCAAGCCATTTGAGCATTTATTCAGTATCCTTGATATCCAACTTTAGGTCCGATGTACTAGTATGCTCTTTGTCCTCATTAGTAAAACAATTGTGCACACTCAAAGAACGAGTTGGGCAACTGCTATGAGTGAGGTATCAGATGAACCAACAGAATCTTCGTCAGTATTCTCCAAATCCAGGTTGAGGTCCGTGTTCTGGTACATCATCGATTCTCACTCGTTGGTCACTTTTGACCTACTAGTACACAATCAAACGTTAGCAGTAAACTACTGTGCTGTACTAGTAACACTGCTTGGCTTGGCGTGGATCACGTACTACGAGGCTTGTACTAGACCCTCCTAGTAGCGCCACAATCATTCTACTAGTGCGCACTAGTCATTCTATGAGTGTTTTTATCAATGAGGACAAAGAGTGTACTCGTACATGTACTATCCCTTAAGATGGATATTATGGACGGCTTTTTGGAGGACAGCGTTGGCATACGAGTAGGACGACGATGTGTTCGTAGTGAGTCAGACGAGTACTTTTTGTCATTTTGTCATCCAAACAGAGCGGAGCTCCACATGAGCTAAATGGTTCACCTTGTGGTGCGAGGGACGCCACTGTCGTTGGCGCCCTCAGAACATCTGACGTGTTGATGAAATGGAGGCGATTAAGTTAATGGGGAAAGTCACTGGCGGGCAGACGACCAGCCTGTTACTTCACCTTCGTTGAGATTCGCTCTTGTGGAATGGACATTTAGAAGCGTGGCTGCTATGACCAAAAAAAAAAAAAAAAAAAATCTCAAATGCTTTACCATCTACCGTCGTCTAGTAGACTAGGTTCAAATTAGGTGGTCATCAAGCAAAACGTATCGAATGAGTTTGTATGTGCAAGACCCTTGGAAATGGCTGAAATTCAATTCAAAGCAAAATGTCAAAACTCCTGGAGACTTTTTTGTGCGTCTGTTCATGATGGACACGCCCTCAAACCTTCATGTTGCCAAGTGAAACTGGCTCTTGGTGGCTGAATTCTTAAAATAAATAAATTGACATTTGTAGGATGTTAACGATGCGAGCTGAACGCTTAAATTCAAATGGCAGGCCTCCTATGTGTTTTGAAGGATGGCTTCCCGATACTTTTTCGTGGCTTTACTCATGATAGACATGCCTACCAAATTTCATGGTGTTAATTTCATGGCCAAATTCTTTTTGAAATTCTGGAAGGGCACTTGCGAGCCAAAATGACCGTTTCAAACCGAAGTGGCAGACTTCCTGTTTCTTTTCAGGCATGGCTTCTTCAGACTTTTTGTGCATCTACTCATGACAGACATGCCTACCAAATTTGCATTGTCAAGTACAACTGGCTCAGAACTTGTGGAGTTTTTTTGTGTGTGTGTGTGTGTGTACAGAGCGAGTGACTGAATTCAAAGGACCCTGGGAAATAGCCAAAATGACCCTAGGATGGCTGCCTCAGACCAAAACAGCAGACTTCCTGTTTCTTTGAAGGTGTGGCTTCCTGAGGCGTTATTGTGGGTCGACTCTTGTCAGACAAACTAGTATGTGTGCATCAGTAGGACAATTGTGTTGTACTCGTAATGGTTCTTTCCACTTCAAAGGCCACTTTTGGTGAACAAGTACGACTTTAAGCTCGATCAAGAAGATTGAAAAAAATGGCTTTCCATAGGCCCTTCGGGGCGAGCAGGCATCATCCACTTACTCGAGAAAGCTGGTGATGTAGTCCTTGCTGCAGGCCGACCAGGAGAAGGGGTTGGTGTTGGCCGTGATATGCGCTGCCATCAGCTTGGCCGTCTCGTGGCCTTTGGTGCCGCACGAGTTGCCGATGCCGTCGTGGTTCATGCCGAAGCTGCGAGTGGAAAGCATCATGAGTTAGCACAACGGCCCGCCGCCTCGGTCCCTCGGCCGTAAAGAAGGCGCTCCCCCGGCTCTTAAAACAGCTGTGTGGAAAGCAGCCCCGGGTCAAGGGTCAAACCCTGTCTGGAGCTCAGCAGGAATGAGCAAAAAGGTCTAATCATCACTGTGATGCCTGCCTGTCAATCAACGCTTGCAGGTCTGAGCAGGTCACCAGGGAGCGGGGGGGAGCGAGGGCAGGAATCCCTTGGATCAATTACTGGAGGGTTCCTGGGCTGGAGAGTTTGAAAACTCATCATCTTAATAACATTTCATTTAAATATTTGTTCCAGATCTGATCTTGGCTTTGACTTGTAAATGGCATTTTTTTTGTTTTAGTTTTTGCCATGCCGTGGGCACATCCGACGACTTCTTGTCAATTCACCAATCATGTATGGTATAACAAGAATTGGAGAAATTCTCACTGAGTCTGTCCTTGGAGGACTCCTGGAAATGACCCTCAAACGGGCAAACCAAAATGGCAGACTTTGTGTGTCTTTTCGGGCATGGTTTCTTGAGACTTTTTTGTGGGCATACTCTTGACAGATGTCCTTCAAATTTTGTATGCCGAAAGCAGACCGGCTTTGAGGGCTAAATACTTGACTAATTTAACATTTGAATATCCTCAGGGCATTTGCAAGGTAAAAGACAACACTTCTTGACGGGTTTCAGCCATGGCTTCTTGAGCCTTTTTTGTGGGTTGGCTTTTAACAGACATGGCAAACAAATTATATGTTGTTAAGTGAAACTGGCTTTGGATTAATTATTATTTTTGAAATTCAGGAGGCAGTTGGCGAGCCCTTTCTTCTGTCTTTTTGGGCATGGCTTCTTGAGGCTTTTTTGTGGGTCTATTCATGATAGAGATGTCTCGCAAATGTTGTTTCCCCAAAGCATACTAGCTTTGGGCGCTGAATTCTTTTTAAAAATTCTGAAAGAGGTGCACGTGCCAAGATAGCCACTTCAAACTAAATGGACGTACATCTTGTGGCTTTTCAGACATGGCTTCTGAAGACTTTTTGTGGGTCCTGATGTGATAGATTTGTCTACCAAATTTGACGTCTTTAACTGAAACGGACTTAGTACATACAGTTTCCCATTTTACGGACAGCCATCCAACTTTGCTCCCAAATTTTGAAAACTCCCAAGTCCTAGTCACCCATGTGATGCCTGCCTGTCAATCAGCGCCGGCAGGTCTGAGTGGGCCGCCAGAGACGCTGGAAAGTAGTGAGGGATGGCCGTGACTCCTTTGGATCAATTACCGGAGAGTTCCCGGGCTGGAGAGTTTGAAAACTAATCATCTTAACAATCAATTTAAACTTTTCCTTGCCGGCCCCGAGAGCACAAATCAGCTCTAATGTATTTAACAAACCCGACCGCATCGCGCCGTCTCAAGCTGTTTTTCTAGCGCGGGCCGCCTATGTGACATTTTAGAACGCTCTGGAAATAAATCAGGCCTGGCCACGCTGTTATTCCTTATACATCTTCTACAGGCATTGACTATTTTTACAACGGGCCCCTTTGCAACAGAAGCAGACACGAGACATAATAAAAGGAAATCGCCATCTTGCACAACTCTCCGGGGAGGCTAATACATCATCATTATTGCGCGCTGGAGTCGCGAGCCAAAGGTATGCACGCGCGACACGCCGGACTCGGAGCCCAACGGAGCTCGTGCCAAGTCCCGAGGCACGCGGCTTGAGAGGAGGTAGAAAGGCTTAAAGGTGGTCGGAAGGCACACGGGAGGTCACGCGACGTTTGACTCGGGTCACATGATGGAGCCCAATCACGAGGCGGATGTTTTGGCATCCATCTCTTTCTCTTTCAAAGAACTGTGCTTTCTATTTATTGACAATCTGTCTATTATAGTTCATACAGAGGTGTGAGTCCACAGGAGAAATGGTGACCATTTGTGGAAAACTCTATCTTCATTGTACAAATTCTGATATCTGCCCGAGACAAAGTGCCTCACCCGACATAGTTTGCAGTTTTTCTGCATGTTTTTAGCAATGGTCTCCCAAACGCGGATCGTGTATTTAGGAACAAATCTTTCAATTCACTCGAGGGTCTTTCAGTGGTTAGTGTCCAGCCATTTAGTTTCGTGCCGCAGGAAAAAAATCATTTGCACTCACTTGTGGCCGATCTCGTGTGCGATGGTGAAAGCCGAGCCGAGGCCAATGTCTTCATTGATGCTGCAGCTCCGCTCCGGCTCGCACATTCCTGCCACCGAGGCCAAGCCTGGATGCAAAAACACACACACACACACACACACACACACACACACACACACACACACACACACACACACACACACACATACACACACAACAGGAGTCAAATGAGAGCACACTTATTAGGCTTCTTAGATTTCCTCACTTTAGAGAGCTTAGCATCAACTGCTAGCTTGTTGCTTGTACTACTGCTTTCTGTGTTTGTTGTTATTGGGTTTTTTTGGGGGGTTGGGGGGTTAAGCAACAGTGCGAAAGGGGCCACTATGCAACATCGCCTCAATTTCTCACTTTTGGTTGCACACGAGAGCAAGAGAAGTTTTCAGGATTGGCTTCCGGCTACTGGAAAACATCGAGACGGAGGTTTACACTTCACGAAGCGCCAGGCCTCGCCTAAAACGCGGGCCAAGGAAGGAAATGTAGCAGCCGCCGCGCCCGAAAAAGCTGTCGGGAGTTAAAAAAAAAAAAGGATGTTTTCCTCATTTGGGAGCTGTCGAAAGAGAAGAGAGGAGAAAGGGAGAGCGGGAGAGACTGTTTCAACTTTCAGCCTCCCCTGCAATCCAGGTGTCGCAAGGCCTTTCTTCCCAAAAGCCTGAGAGGTCACATCGGGAGACAGGAGGCAATTCTTCACAGATTACATCTACAGGTGAGTGCAGAGTGGATTGGATGACACCACAAAGCAGGTGTGTGTGTGTGTGTGTGTGTGTGTGTGTGTGTGTGTGTGTGTGTGGGTGGGTGGG